TTTTATATACAGTTAGCGAGACTTGAGGATAAAAGTCGGAATAAATTGCGACTCTAATAATAATAAAGATCAGATCGGTTCTTATAGACTTACGTAATAACAATCTTTTCCAGAATATCTTTCGATTTAGATTTTTATGAAAAAAGAATTATTCGGGAAAATTGAGATAGATAAATTTCTGTCCCAATTTCAGTTCTTCTTTTATTCCCTCCCGATACAGAAACTTTGACACAATTCCTCAAAAAACCAAGCTCGAGACACGTAAATAAATAAAAATACGTTACCAACGACAAACTCAAATAAGGATTCCAATATCACTTTCACTTTGGAGAAAGTTTTCTCTTTGTTTCAAAAAGTTGCATACTTTCTCTAAATATTTGTCCCCCGAGTTTTCCTCCGTCTTATCACAGAGAGTATTTTTAACAACCTATTTAATTCGGATTAACTAAGGGGTAAATACAATTTAAAGATATTATTTTCGTCCAATTTTTTTCTTACCCCCACTTTCACTAAATTACTTATTCCGGGATTTTAACCCATTTTAGGTGGTGGCACCTTTCTCCGTGGTTGGGTTGTAATGTGTCCCATGCCACACGGGGGACAGGTAAGTAAAAATAAGTAGCAGAGCAGAAAAACTACTCGGTCGGTGTGTGTGTGGTTGGTTTTTGAGATAGGAGCTCGCCCGTGTGTCGAGTGGCAAGGTGACAGCCTACCAACTAACTAAGAAAGGATCAAGTATTGAGAGAAAGGTATTATGGTGATTGGAGGATGCAGCAGTAGAATTCGGCAAGATTCGTACTCAATGTTCAGTTGGGAAATAGAAACACGTAGCAGCAGACAGAAAAGTAGGATACGTACGACCGAGAGAACCGAAAACGGGACGTAAGAACAGAGCAGAACACAGGACAGACCAGACTTTAGCCTATCGTAAGGCTCTGGGTGGATGGATATGGGTATATGAGAGATGTGGGTGAGGATATAGATAAACGGTGGGGGTGAGGAAAAAATGTGGTGGTGGGAGAAAATTTTGAGGCATTTTTTGAAAAAAATTGAAATTTAGCCATTAAATTAAAATTGTGAAGGAAAAATAATTTTAGAATCGGTTGGACGCCATTTATGAAAATTTGTGATTATTTATGTTTGAAAAAGCATAAGATCATACGTCATGTTTTCTCGGTTCTCAATAATTTCTTCTAAACAGAAAATAAACAAAATATTCATGAATTCAAAATTGATCATAAAAAATATCAATTAGCACGTAAAAATTGAGAGATAACCGCACATTTATAGCATAAATTTGATACGATTTATCCTCATTTTTTTTAAAACCATGCCTAAATCTAATCATTCAGAAATGTTGAAGATTCCCCACATTTTAAAAAATATTGAAGTAATAAATCCGCAAACATTTCATGTTCGTCCCTCACACCGCACTTTGTACTCGTCTCAAAAATTGATCCAGAATTCGAGCAAGTTTCTCCTTGCAGCAGCCATGCGCTGCATTTGGGGCGAGAGAAAGTCACAACTTTCCACAAATGCAGGCAAAAGCTGCCGGACTTTTTCTTTGTTTCCCAATTCCAGCCTGGTTTTTGGTATCGTATACAAATTAAGGTTTCGTGTCAACTAAAGTCTGTTTGTTTTTATTCCTGGTGGTGGTGGTGCACCGTGTCGTAATGAGAGTGAAAGTGAGCATTGGCTGGCTGAACAAATGCCGGTGGCTGGTGCGGTAAATAAGTAAATATAAACATGAATGAAATCGAGACGAGACTGCAGTCACCAATTGTTTGCGGGAGGGAAACATTTATTTCCGGGAATTTTATAATGTTTCCATTTAAATCAGAGAGAGGTATGACGTGGGCGTAAATGCAATGAGGAAATGGATGGAAGTCATGTTTGATGTGGGTTTACCACTATTTTAGGAAATTTTAATGGAAATGATGAAGGTCTTTTAATAGAAATTTTTAAACCTAAATCCACACAATGTTTTAGAGAATTTAGATTTTGTGTGCGAAATTATAATTTTTTACGAGAAATTGTAGCCGCTTAAATTTTGCCACCCTTTTCATTCAAGTAAATTGGACTTAATGTGGGAGTTAATGGACAATTTTTTAGACATACAAGGCTCTATTCATGCCATAATTCAGCCGAATTCTATTCAATGAACTTATGTATTCAGAATTAATGAATGTTCTGAAGTGAGGCAATTGTTTAATGTCGATTAAGCCATTTTGACGACAGTGTGTTTAATGAGGGTGGCTGTAAAGGAAAGTCATTAAGAGACTAATTACATACGTTTCAATTCAGAAAACAAACACCAACGTGGAATTTACGATGTTGACGTTTCTAATCGAATTATGTCATTCAAAGAGAAATTGTGTGTGTATTAATTTACTGCTGAATTGAAGTGTGTACCTAAATATAATGCTGAATTGTGTGATGTCGTGGAATGTGTAGACGTAATTGAAAATCCTATGCAAAATCCGTGTTCTCTATTGGAGCCCTAATTTGATACGTTTTACATAATTTCGGTAATATTTACATAATTTGGAGGGATCAGATTTTTAAAATGTTAATTTTGCATGACAAGAAAGAGAGTTTGTCCACCTTAAAAGTCGAATGTGAATTAAATCGGTCAATTTGTATGTAAATAAAATTAAATAGATTTCTTTCACGCATTTCCGCATTCAAAATTTTTCGTCCAAGTTCGAAAATTAACAGCCCTCTTTTTTTACAATATACAACTTTATCCAGTCCAAAATTTTAACATATTCGTCCACCATTTCCCTTGTCACTCTTTGTGGTGTCATTTCCTGCTGAGTCACACACGTCCGTTGTCACAAAATCATACACACGGAATTTGGGTCACCTCTTCAATTAAAGGGGGCCCTAGATTAGTCTGGTCTCATATGGTCATGTGGTCAACATCAAATCCGCCAGTCTCACCATTTCCCCCTCAGACAGAAAGTTGACCTCAATAAACCACATCAAAAAATATATATTGTACAAACCATGGACAAAAAGAGATCAAAAGGAGTCTCGTTTAATTTCCGATGTGGAAAACTGGACTCGAAACGTCATACAATACTCAAAATGTACACTCTTAGAAATTTTGGAAACTATTCGTAAAAATCTACAAAATTATGTAATCTTTTTGCACCATCGCGGTAATAATGATTTTCAACTTTAATAATTATTTAGTTTTTGTACCAAATAACCAACTTTTTTGTACAAATTTTGTACTATTTTCAAATTTGTAATATTTCTACTACCAAATTTTCGTATTTATCACCACACATGTAGCATCAAATATACCAGAAAATTGCATCCCCAACTTTCTAAGCGTGCCTTTTTCCACCGACTAAACGCCTCCCATTTTTCTTATCGATGTTACACAACATCTAAATTTTATTATGCCCAAAATTATGCAGGATGAAAGAAGAAAATCTGGCTTAACGAGTTTTTTGATCCGTAATAAATCAGCAATTCTAATCTGAGATACATCCACCCGAGTAATCTTTTTCCTTAACTTTTCCCCTTAAAAATGAATAAGGAGTGAATATAGATCAGTTAGTTAGTTAATCGTGACGGGGATAAAGTAGTCGTGAGCGAGCTAAACTTTCTCCGCCGTTTTGTAGCGTATTTATTTTTCATCACGGCGTTCTACTCCACTTTTATTTTATGAGGTCCAAACAAGAGTCCTTCTCGGGATGAATTATGGACGTGCAAGATGAATGGGTGAAAGTGCTCCTGCCATTATTACAGAGTCACTCACTCACTGAGTGGGTTGTAGCCAGGGAATAAAAGAAAGCCAGCCTGGATAACAATAAAGTGGCGAAATAAATGAGCAAACCATGCAACTTTCATGTATCTACGATACACGGTGTACTGTTCTGCAGGGTGCAGAAAAATTGGGAGAGTGTCATGAAATTTTTCTCACATTATTTTCCCAGGTAAACTGGATTCGGAGGAAAATTTGAGAAACTAAATTTTTTCGATTATTTAAATTTCTCCTATTTGATTTCACGTAGATGTTTAAGGAGAAATTTATCTAAAAAAATGATTTGTGAAACAAAATAATTTTGAGGGATTTAAACGTCGAAACTGCAAATTGATAGATAAATGTAATTAAAAAACCTATAGGTCGTGTTCTCATTTGGACGATCAGTTAAAAGAAACAAGATCAAGTTAATTGTGCTAATTAAATTTGATGCTTGACACTTTATACGAAAAACAATTTATTATTCAGCACGTGAAATGTCCAATTTAGAAAATCAGATTGGAAGCTGGGCAATAATTTGTTCCTAATAAGCTCATGATGATCCTAATTTTTTCTCGTGTAAATGATCTCCCTGGTTAAAATATAATTTCTCACATTTCGTGCATTTCACAATTTCCTAGAAACACTGGCGTGTCAAGCTTTCTCCTAGTCTGGGTGGAAGAAGAGTAATATGAGCTCGTCCTTTGACGGTCTCTTTGTCGGACAACTACTTGTCCTGTGTGTAATCTTCACACTTGAAATTCTGGGTACTTGAGGATGCCATGTCAAAAACGTGGAAAGTTGAGAACTCAGAAAAACAATGGAATGTGTCGAGTGGAATCATCGAAAACAAAACACAAAGCTTGCAATTTTCAAGTGGAGACAGAGAATTTATGCGAATCAGATCATCACGAAGTCAGATAAATGAATAAGAGTTACGGGAAAATATAAAGGTTCCAATTGCTGATTCTTTTTTTCTTTTTAGATGTTTGTATCTGCATAAAATATTTTAAAATAAAAGTATCGTCGTGTTTTTCACTCAATTTTATGCCAAAATGTTCCTCATTTGCGTATAATTTTGTGCAAAAACTATTTAAGCAATATGTTTTTTGGTCCATTAAAAAATATCCTCTACACCTTTCCAATTTTATAAAATGTATGCAGCAAATTTTCCTTAAATTAAAACACTAAATACTATCAAACTTTCTCATAACTTAAAAATTTAAAGATTTTAGTCACTTACTTTGCAACGAGTCCCGTGGGCTGAATTTCCTGCACAAAAATCCCCAATTCTCCCTTTTCTTGTGACTTTAGGCCAACGACGCTAAATCCTAGGGAAGTTCCTTCCGGTTTATTTAACTGGAATCAAAAATCAATTCAAGATTTTATTTTTAAAATTCCTGCTACTTTTTAAATTTAAGTGCTATATACCTTTATCCTATGAACTTGTCTCCCTCCCGCGACCTCGGCAATGACGCGGTCATAATCTTCTATATATCTTGGCAATGGTGGTGATGGTGCGATCGCAGTAAGAATTTCGTCTTCTTCGACCTACAAAGAAATCAGAATTATGCATTTAAAACTTTCTAGATTTGTCTAAAAGAAATTACCGATTTGGACGAAACTGTGGACGAAATTGGTGGACTTGAGGCCGCCTTGGCAGTCGGAATCGGCTTCTTTTTTAAATTGAGCTCAATTGGTGTCTTGTCAAAAGTTGGTCTAAATTTGTCCACTGGAGGAGAAATTTTAAGGATAAGCTTCCCTTCGGTGGACACTTCGAAATCGTTGGGAGTTATGGATGGATGTTTTATCAAATGGGAGCCCAATTCGTTTACGGAATCCTGTAAAATGATTTAAGAAGAATGAAATTTCGTAATTAACGAAATAATTTTATTGATTTTTTTAATAGATTTTATGTATTCTTACTTGAATTTTGCATAGTCGTTGAAACATGGGGTCGCTCAGGACGGATAGTAACGTGTTGAGGTCATTATTGACCTGTGTGAGCTGTCGTGGGTCGGTGGACTCTAGGCGACCCCCGCTCATTCGTTTTTGGACATCGTCAAGCAGTTTGAGAGCATTTTCGACTTCTGGAAAATTTTAATAAAAGCAAAAAACTGGAATGCTTTTCATTTAAAATTGCAAGATTTTTGTGCAAAAAGATATCAGCTCGAAGTAAAATTGCAAGAATCTAAATTAATAATGTAATTACTAATGTAATCTTGGCAATTTTTGCGGCGTTTTTCTTGCACAAAATTTTGCAATTTATATGACCCACATAACTCACTCACCTGAATAAATAGGCATTTTTTGGCTTGTTATTTTCTTCTTCTTTACAGAACAGAATCCGTAGTAAAAGTGATGACAAATTCACTTTTGTAACTCGCAAAAAAATTGTGTACTTTTACACGTTTACAATTATTTTCTTATTACTCGTACCATTGCAGATTTATTTACTTTACTTTACTTATTAACCTCGTACGGCTTCTTGCTTTCTATGTATTTTTTTCTTCTATCACGACGCACTTTTACTTATCGCAACTTTTCTTCCTACAACTGCACTGGTCTACCTCAAGGATAATAATAGAATACATACAATAGGAAAAAAGGAAACCAGGTGATTCACTTAAATAATTAATTATGTCATGACTCGAAAAGAAAGTGGAGAAAGCACGGCAGCAAAAAAAACGGGAGGGAGAAAGCACAAATAGAAATTTTTTTCTTAATAAATATCACTCTAAATTCTAAAATTCCTTACTAATTGTAACTGTAAGATTTAACTTTAACTTTTCTTTTTTAACTTGGAAATCACAATTTTTTCTAGCAAAAAGCTCTCCTAATCAACTAATTGAATTTTTATTTCGTATTTTTCTCACTAACAAATTGCATTATTTTCCACATTAGTCTACAATTTTAAGGAAAGGCAAACAAGACTAATTAACTTATTACTATTTTTATTAAAACTTGTCACCTTACACCTAAAAAAAACTACAAATTATTATTACAATTTTTGCATATTTTCACAATAGGAACACAACTAGCGCAATTTTGTCAAAATTATTGCTTTGTTTGCCCTGTTATTTATAGCGTCACTATATTTGCACTATGCAATTTTCGCCATAACTTTACTTCCACAAGGATTTTCCTCTCTTTTATTTTACTTTGTCACGCTCTGTTAAAAGTAGTAAAAATCCAATCCCAATAAATTTAGCCTAATAAATAACTGCATCTAATTTTACTATTTTATGAACACTTTTTTCCCTAATGATTTTTCGCAAACTACATTTTTCCCAATTTTGTACACACTTACACACACATCCACACACACTGATTTATATATTTTACTTTAAGTGGGAATAAAGGAAAGGGTTGAGAATTGTCCAGTATAACGAACCCTGCCAGAGGATGGATAGGCGGAGGAGGAGGAAGGAGATGATGATGATATAGCTTTTTGTGCATGTAATGTGTAACGTAAAAGGTAGAAATGATTATAAAGGAATTTTATCTATCAGGCAGATTCAGAGAGAGGTTGAAAGTACTTGAAACCACGGTACGAGAGTAGGAAATATACCATGCCGAGGACGAGACAGGGCATGGGATGGGATGCCACAGCTTAACTCATTTTATTTTACACCAGCCAACCAGCAATAGTCTGGTCTGCTATAGAGTAAGGAAAAAGAAAGAATGGATATTGCCATTGTGGAGAGGAAGCCGTGGAAGGATGCTGAAGAAGAGATGATGGAATGGACCCTGGCAAAAATAATCCGGGATGAGAAATAAATTCTGTTAAATGAATGAATTTTGGATGAGTACACAAAGAAGAATTTTTCTCCAGAGAAAGTTCGAGGAGAGTGAGTGGAAAGGTGGGAGGATTTTGTAGGGAAATTTTAGTATGATTGGTGTCAGAGGAGTTTTAAGAGGGGGATTGAGACTGGAAGAATTTATTCGCTAATTTAATCGGAAATTGAATATTGAACAAGAATATAAATCATCGCATTTTGATTGGATACATAGCCCTTGATTTGATTTTGATTAGAGGATTTTTTTGATTGTCATGATTAATTTTTTTGTGATGGGGTTTTGAAAAAGAAAAATCTGAGACTAATTTGATTTTCGCGAATTGATTTCAAGTCAAGTTATAAAAAAAGACTGGGGACAAAATCCCTGCCCATCCCACACACCCGGGCATCATCTCTATATAAACTATCCGAGTTTGTTCATTGGGATGTTGGTTTGGTTTGGTGGTGGAGAGATTCACTTTGCTTTTCTAGTTTACGTTACTGCCTCGCCCCAAGGCGAGAGAGGTACATTCCATACATTTCGCCAGTCAGGAGTAGTAACGAAATCCACCTGCCATCCGTACTTTTGCAGGCATATAGAAAGATACGATACGATGAGAGGAGGAGGAGGGTGGCCCTTTCATCTAAACGTAAATCCAATCCGATCCATGGGACAGGAAAATTTTATGTAACGTGCGAATAAAAAAGTTAAAAAAATGCCCGGCTTTTGTGCCCACCAGATGCTGTCAGATGCTTATTATGCTTACGTATACATATGTATTTAGGGATGGAAATGGTGGTATGCATACAAAAATGTATGTGTGTATGCAGCATTGTGTTGTTGTGGGTTGAATGAATTTGATCCGATTATTTGATCGGCTTAGATTTTTATTTTTGCGTCACTCTTCAGTTTGCATACCGGGTTTTTTTAAGGGGATCAAATAACGAGAGGATTTGATATATAGGAAGGAATGTGCTTATTTGTAAGGTGGAGAAAATTTGTGGTTGAGTGGAAATTGTGATGTAATTCATTTAATGTGTAGTTAGAATTAGGGATAAGTTTCGATATTTAAATGAAAAAATGAAACAATGTGCAAAGAGTACAGAAATTTTTAGGATTGTTTTTTATAACAATGATTTGCTTGATGCTTTTAACAAACAAATTCAATTTTAAACAAGAAATAGTGTTATAAGCATTTAGTTTTTATTCATAATGGCACTTAAATCATACGAAATAACTTTTTCATGAACATAAAAATGTAACAGGATTTTTACAAAATAAATTGTTCTGTTCATTACATTTACAAGCTGATCTAACAATGGAGGCGCAAACCATGTTCAGCCCAGATTATTTTTTGACCATGTTAGTTTGGAAGAGCAAGTCTCTCGAAACAACATTTGGTTCACCACTTGCGCAGATGCGCAAAATTCAGCACGTTATGGGCGCCACGAGTTCGCAAAACGCATGATTTTTGATGCAAAGTCCAGAGCGAGCTCACTCTCGACCACTTTTTGCGAACTTGTGGCGCCCATAACTTGCTGAATTTTGCGCATCTGCGCAAGTGGTGAACCAAATGTTGTTTCGAGAGACTTGCTCTTCCAAACTAACATGGTCAAAAAATAATCTGGGCTGAACATGGTTTGCGCCTCCATTGCAAGATAAAAAGTAATTTTAGCTATAAGTCACACACAACAGTACTTTTAAAATTGGATAATTAAATATTCTACAGGAGCAAAATTAACTATATTTGCATTTGTATGAAAAAATGATTTTTAATTGTGAAACTATTTTATCCTAATTACACACAAATTGGTAATCAAGTTTCTCGAGCTTTAATTCTAATTAACGTGTGAAAAAGTAACATTTGACTTAAATAACGTCAGAAAATAAAATTACAAATTACAAAATAATTTTTGCATGCATAGCATAAAACAAATAAGTAAAGTGAAACGTATAGCGATCATTTTTCAAAATTAAAATTGTGTTTTTAATATGCCGATTAGTATATGTATGCTTTGCTGACCAATGTTTTTTTAATTTACACTGGAGATGAGATTATTTTCAGTACTGTGAATTTTAAAAATTGTATTTTGAAATGCATGTACTTTTACCACCTCTGATAATTTGACAAAACTAATTTAGTCCACGACTGAATCATGACTTGATTTTACGAAAATAAATAAATATGCACATATGAAAAAATTACGACATGAAAATATTTCTAGTAAATTTAAAGGGACGTCTTTTCTGAATTTTATCTTTTTTTTGAAGAATTCAATAAACCTGAGACATAAATCCGAAGTTAACATGCTTTACTTAGGGAAAATTTCTAACGGTAATGCCTTCAAATAATGCGATTTCAAAGTGTTTAACAATGTGATTTCAATTAATAGTCTGATGGATTAAAAATAACCTAAAATTGCATACAGAATTTTTGTAGGCGCTTTGTTATTCATTTTCATGAAATTCTGAAAACTATTTGTTCATGAAATGTGTATCAAGATCTTGTTACAATAAATGCGGGATGTGAATTTGAGACCGACAGAGCAGCTGAAAGTATTCTCAAATTCTCACACACAACATTTGTTAAAAATTTTAACTTAAAATTTAAATTGTTTAATTATGTAGTTGCCTTGTAATTAATTGTATAGTAGGGACCATGACGGTCACGAGTTGTTTCTGCAGCCCTAAAGTTTAGGGATCAAGATATGTCGACGACGCTACGAAAAAATCCATTTCCTCCAAAGTTTGTGAGCCTTTCTCGTTCGTCGAAATTTTATGGCAAATTTTATATTTGATCATGAAAATGAAAGATGAAGGTAATGATTTATTCAATATTTGAATTAGACTATTTTAATGCAATTTTTTCCAAATGCATAGATCAACTTCTCCGGAACACTGGTGCTGAAATGGAACCACTTGTCATCAAATCGGAAATAGAAGTGGAAAATGATAATTCAGGGGAATGTATTAGAAATGTGCTCGAGGATGACGACGATGAGGAGGATGACGTAGAAGACTGGTCACAACAGGTCATGGACGAAGTAACGGACGAGGAAGAAGACGACGACGATGAAGAAACAGACCTCAGCCGTGATCCATTGGAAGATGTTGATGATTATTTCCGGTAAATAGCTCATGTCAATTCATTATTTTTGTTTTCTTAATTAGCAATAATCCTGCTTTTGTCACAGTAATGGTTCGGCCCATTCAAACCGCGATGGCCCACCTCAAAAAATTGGGAAAACTGGGGATCCGGCTTTTAATAAATCATCGTCCAAGAAACTCCCTCGACCAAAAGTAACCAAGAAGATCAGAAGGAATCCATCCAAGATAGATCCACTTTCTATTTGTTCCATTTGTGGTGACAAAGGACCTTGGGCTTATCCAAAAAATAGTAATGTCACAAAATTATTCATGACAATAATGACCATATTAACAAACTTACCAAAGTTCCTTGGCATTGTCCTTGCAATTATGTAAATTAATTAGTATCGTATCACCTTGTCCAACAGCACTACAAACTCACCTCAACTGCCACTCGATCGAGTCCCACAAAGATGACGAACGTTGGTACTCACCCGAGAAAATGAAATGCCCCGTCACTGTTTCCTGCAAATTTGTGAGGAAGAGCCCCCTCCTTATTTGGGAACATATCATGGAAAGTCATATCACCCTCCTTCACCATTGCCCCACCCCCTCATGTGACGAGTACTTTATTTTGGAATCCACCCTCAACGCCCACGTCGCACTCCACTCTTCAACGTCCCCCGTTCCTTGCCCAGTTTGCGACACTACGTTCCCAGACGGCCCCTCCCTCCTGGAACATCTCAGTTCCTCCCACAGTAGCAAAAAAACAGCCACGATGTACACCTGCTCAACCTGCAAGCGAGCGTATTCCAGTCTGATAACACTTCGTGACCACGAGAAACGTCACACGAATCTTGACGACAGAAGAAAATCCTGTGAGTTTTGTTCCTATACATGCCTCAATGCAGGAACGATGTCTAACCATATCATCACTAAACATGAGGGGGACCCAACTCTTAGGAAGAAGTGGAGGTGTGACCTCTGCAAGAAAGCGTTCGTCTCCAAGGTTGTGCTAAGGCGACATGTCACATTGCACAAAAAATTCGATGGCACTGGTAGAACGTTAAAGTGCAAGATATGCGAATACCCCTTCTTTCCTGGAGAGGATGGGAAGCTTCAACTACATTTAGAAAAGATTCATGGGGATGGGAACGATTTAAGGCTGAAAAAATGTGTCATCACTGGATGCGCGTTCACGACCTCAGCGTCGACACACCTGCGGCAGCACGAGAGAAAACACCACCCAAAACTCTTGATCCATAAATGTGATTCATGTGGGAAGGTGTATTCAGAAAAGATTTTGTTGGAAACGCATCTCAAAACGCACCAAGAAGGGGATGGACTGTTTGGTTGCTGCGTGTGCAAATCGATTTTTCTATCAGGGGATAAGTTATGTAGATACAATTTTGAAAAAATATCATGCAATTGGACGTATATTTTAAATTTCTGTAATAATTTCCTTGATTGTTTACTTATTTCTAGCTCGCTGCCCATTTGAAAATTCATAATGGAGAAAGCAACCTCTCCTGCGACCTCTGTCCTGTCACCTTTGCTGACCGTGGGCAACTTCGAGCTCATAAAATACTCAGACATAACGCGCCTACACCTCATATCTGCTCCATTTGTAAGAAGAAATTTGCTAAAAAGAGTTACCTACAAGAGCACATGGATACCCAACACCCATCTGAAACCACGCCTACCTTTGGCTGTCACCTTTGCTCTAGGGTTTTACATTCTCTTGCGCAAATCAGAGCTCATATTAGGAACGTGCATGAAAAGCCGCAAAATATTCCCACCTGTCCAACCTGTGGCAAGAAGGCAAGCGACATGAAAATGCACATTTTAAGAGCACATGCTAATGCAGATAAAAAGGCAAAGAGGAGCTGCTATTTTTGTGGAAAGACATTTATCCGAACTGAAGAGTTAACGACGCACTTATCGACCCATACTCTGGAGAAACCATTTATTTGCCACATTTGCTCGAAGGATTACACGCAGGGTGCTTCTTTGGGAAGACATTTTAAAATGGTGAGTCTTGTTTAGATGAAAGTTTAGCTATTTTGCAGGTAATTAAGTTTATTTTTTTGGACAGCACAAGACTAACGGGGATTTCTTCCCAAAACCGGACTAGTTTTGAATGACGATAGTGGAAGGGAAAAATGTCGACCTATTCGTTGCTAGCGGAAAATTTCCTTTAAAAGTCAAAGCATAGGGCAATAATTATACTTATGTATGTATATTGTTAGTGTCGGTTAATAATCTGTAACTGGAAGGTCAGACGTTGGCTAGCACGCAAGCTCTATTTTTTTAACTTTAAAATATTGTATCACTCAGATTTAACGATAAACAGTCGGATACAAAGTTCGCATTACGTAGAAATCAGTAATTAATACAGTTTGTCAAGCCTTTTAATTCAGGTACATTACATGCTAAGTAAGTATTAAATACATACATGGCATTTTTATATAATTGTTGTATTACAAAAATGACGACTCATCCTTCAAGTACTTTGAGATATAATTTAATTATCTTAATTTTATCGTATTTTAGCGCTTAGTCGAGTGTTAATTACAGGATTAATTAACACCAACGAATTGTGTCGTAAATTTTTACTGCAACGAAGAATTATCTCTAAAACTTATTTATTATCCTTATGTCATACGTAGTACACAGTCCGTGGGTAAGTAGGAAACTGGAAGTGGATACCTAATATTCATGTAATTCGATCTTAAGTATCCTAGAATTCCCATCATTAGAAGCTTCAGTTTGTATTGGGAAGTTTATGTATTTTTTATAAGTACTTGATAAACTAGTCAAGTAATGCAATGTTGAATAAATAACATAATAAAATACATAACATTGGTGTGAATTTTAAATTAAATATGTACGTAAATCGGACTTTGTATCATATCGGTGGTGTCGGTTTCGGCTCACCTCAAATCTTAATAGAATTGACCTTGTACCACCAAACTTGTCTTGCATATCAATTAAATGGAACGTCGTGAATAATTGATCAATAACCGAAAGAGAATATGTACATAAATTGTTTTATATTGTTGCTTCGCTGAAAATAATTTACATGTAAAAAACCTGACATTTCACGTACCTACTGCGACTGGGACGAATTGAAGGGTGTGTTTTATACACATAAAATTTTACGATGCTTAATTACAAAGATCAGGTTCTTATGGCATGTGTTAATATACGCACACATACATTAAATTTGTAACATCTTTACGCAATGATCATTAAAACTGTGGATGAATGATATACATATTTATTTAAATACATTTCAAGATCCTTGTTTTTTCATGCTCTAAATCATAAATATTATTTTATTGTTTTGTGTATCTAGTTTCAATAATCGACTAATTTTTGTTGTTCATGTAAACTAGCAGGTATTTCCAAGTAACAAAGCATGTAGTAGTAACCCAAGTTGAATTTGATATTGAGGTTTGTCATAATTTTCCTCTGCATTTGTTCGAGAACCAGACCGAAGCAATCCAGTCGAGAATTGGAGTTCGGAGTGCATAGTCTTGAACTACTTGACTAATGACTAACAGGGTCTGGAATTACAATGGAAGCCGTGTCAGAACATGAGACCCGTCTAGTACAAGAGGTGAGATCTCAATAATTTTGTGACATAAGGGACTTGGAATTACAATTTCTTTAAAACGTGATAATTTGGGATGCTACAGCTTCGGAAACGCACCTCAGATTTAAATCTGGCTCAGGAATATGTAAAGGACAAAAACCTGGTGAGATTTTTGAGAGGTCGGTAAAGAAAGTTGTCATTAATCATTAATAAATATCATACACAAATCTGTTATTAATGTAACGCCAAAGTCGAGTCATATCAATTTTTATTACAACAATTTTATCAATCTTCAATATATAGATAAATGATATTTTACTCATAACTTTAGCTCGAAGACAAAGCATTACTCCAGCAGAACAAATGCTACGCAAGGTAAATTCATACCATAATTAATCAATTGGTCGAAAATCATAATTAGAAAAGATCATAGATAATTTACTCGTCTTTTTTTGACACATAATAGAACCACGTCTGGCTCAAGGAGAACGACGTGGATGCTATCGTCTCGAAACCTGATCCTCCCGGCTGGGGTGTCAACGGTCTTTTTCCCTGGCACATTTGCGGTTTTGACAAGAACGATAATCCAGGTACGTAAGTTAGGGCGATAACAAAGTTAAGATAGTTAACATTACTTTAACATTAACTTAAACATTAATGTAAATCTAGTCAGATGAATCCGTGACTCTCTAATGTAAATCGTGCATCTGCACAAATGCAATACCTAGTCTCAAATCGACATGACAAATATTTTTACATATTTCCGAATAATCATTACATTTTTGCTATTTGATGAGGGCCACAGGCCATATATTAATAAATTCTTACTTACTACTACTTACATTTTTGATGTTTTTTTTCAGTGATCGTCCTAAAATTCGGGGCTTGGGACGTCAAGTCCGTCGTCTCTAACCAACGCGAAGACTTTATGTCATATGCGATTAAAACTATGGAACTATGTGCTCGATCATGTGCCCATTCGACTCGCGAGAAATCTTGGATGGGCCAATTAGTTGGCATCTATGACTTCAAGGATCTCTCATTTTCGCAAATGAGATGTTTCGAAGTGATCCAGATTACGATGCAGGCGTCGCAACTTTTTGACAGCAATTACCCCGAATTGTTGGGGAGGGGATTTGTGGTGAATGGTAAAAATTACTTCATTCTGAAAATCAGATACCTTTATACTTAAAGTTTGCTTCAAAATCAAGTTGTTTATTAGAAAATGCATGTTCAAATTTATTTTTTTATTTACTAAACAATCAATGTGCAGATAGATAAGTTTTAACATGAATCCAACGAATTTTACATTTCATTTCAGCTCCCATGACTTTTCAGATTTTATGGAAATTGATCTGTCCCGTCATGGACGACAAGACGGCGAGAAAAATTACCGTGCTTGGTTCGGATACCGACATTATGAGAAACGAAATTGGAAAGTATGTCCCATTTGCAGAATTTCCTAAAATGTATGGTGGTGATGGGGATAACGATTTAAAGGTGGGTGCTTATTTGAAAGATATAAGTATTTTTGAAAAGTACTGTGTTCAATAAAATAATATTAATGACGTAAGCACTTATCTTTTAATTATGTAGATAATCGTCGCACCGGATGGATCACCAATAAGATTGTCAAAGATGTAATAATCTGTATAAAGATAAAGTTAATTGTGTGAATAAAATGAAAATCATTCATTTTTTTGTAATTCTTGAGAATTTTTAAAAAATTCATGATCAATCTCATTTGCATTTATCATTTCATATTTAAAATGGAAATTGCACTATTAATGTATATTTACTACATGCATCAAGTTTCAAGTCAACCGTATGCATAATGCCGTGGGATAAAGTGCCACTAATTTAATTGCTGTGTCATGTCTTATTTAATTTAATTAATAATTGTGCTCGAAAGTGAGACATACGAGAAATGTAAGTTTATCGTCTGATAAGTGGCACGGCACCGACATAATTGAATTAATCTAATTGTAGCCCTGATTTATACGAAGCGTTTTATATAATTTTCCATAAATTTTCCTCTTAATTTTGTGAGAACTAGTCACTAATTCGTATTTAATTACACAGTGCAGGCAACTGGAACTAAATCAGAAATTACGAACTAAACCTGGATTATTACATAATTTAATTAGTAGTATAGCTTTTAATATAGTTAAATTAGCAGGGTTCGGAACCATGTTCCAAGATATTCCGCATACGCAAAAGCGACAAACTGCACAGCCTCAGATTCCTATTTACATAAGATTCATAAAAATTATAACAGAACTATTATACAAAAAAACATTGATACACATTCATCATCATTATCTGCAAGGCTGTATGACCCGCTTCTCGTCCATTGCATTATGACTCATCACTACCCGAGCAGCACCAAAAATTCATGGTAAGTACCGGACAATTTTTGCTCAAAAAATTTTAAAACGAAAAATTTGATGTTTTTTCCTACCATAATATATACCTAGACATATTACATCATACAGCTTATTGAATTCCCGTTCGAAATTAAATTTTAGTCAATTTAATTTTTCAGGAAAATTTTAAAACCAAAATTATAGCGATTCGAACGGAAACCCAGTATGTCATATATCTAGATATATATTCTGGTAACAAAAAACATGAAATTTTTCGTTTTAAAATTTTTTGAGCAAAAAATGTCCGGTACTTACCATGAATTTATGGTGCTGCTCGGGTAGTGATGAGTCATAATGCAATGGACGAGAAGCGGGCCATACAGCCTTGATTATCTGTATTGTCACAAGTTAACGAGTCACTTGACTCTGGGCTGGGGATTATCAACGTGCGTTATTAATAGACAGACATTGACTCGAATTTATTATAATAAATGCAAAAATGTACTTAGAGAAATCATAATAGATAAATAAATTTAAAAAAATAAAACTAAGGCGAGAGGCGCTATTACAAACAAGAAACAAGCCCTCCCACCAACACCCCCGTCTCGCCGCGGCCCCATTAATATTTTTATATCTGGGGGTGTAACCACAATTTTATTTTTTGTAATTCTTTCCTGCATCATACCCAACAATTTAGAAAACCACGTATAATGGGGTATATATGCCAACATTGATGCATGCTATTTTCGTGATAGTGTCATAAAATTGTCGCACAAATGTCGGAAATGAAACTACAAGTTTATTTATGTAGCTCGTTTACCAGAGCAGCTATTCCGAAATTCTGAAATTACTGAATGAAGACTTGGAATGTATTTAACCGCATGATTGCATACGTTAAAATAGTTGGTTTTAAGAAATAAACATTTCATTTTGTGTACGACGGGTAATGAACAGAGTCCGGGTATGTGTATATTCCAAGCTTTTTCAACAACAATACTGATTGATTTGAAACTTTAGGATCTTGGTTCTGGTATAGATTTTCTTTAATCAAATTTAAAAAATATTTTTACACATATTTTGTAGACTTGATTAAACATTTCGCATAAATGTTTCGGGGTTTTTCAATAATTTATCCGGACTCTGTTGATTAATGCTAGACTACTACATATTTTCCTAAATTGAAATTAATGCAAGAACTGCAGCCGACAGGGTTTACAAGTGCAATGCAATATAAAACTGTATTTATCAATTTAAATGCAGTTTACATTAGTGGTTAAAACTTTGAATCATAAATTTCGATTACACCCCCCAGACATAAAAATATTAATGGGGCCACGGCGAGACGGGGGTGTTGGTGGGAGGGCTTGTTTCTTGTTTGTAATAGCGCCTCTAGCCTTAGTTTTATTTTTTTTAATTTATTTATTTTGGGGTTTTTAAGTGAGCAATTTTTTAACTCCGTAATTAAAAACCTACAATTCAGACTAGCTATAGCCCGAGTCAAGAAAAGGTTGGAATTATCACCCAATACTGCATTACGAACCATTACAAATTTCTCTACCAAATTTCAGCTCGATTGGATGATTTTGAAAAATCAATAAGGGTCGCTTCACAAGGTCGCTCCAAATGAAAATGTTTTAAATTTCAATTCATATTCTATTATAACCCATTAGAGCTCCATGTCAAATTTCAGCTTTCTAGCACAATTTTTAAATTTTGATGTATAATATGCACGCCACCCACTTATGTGGCCCCCATCAGTCCAAATCTTGTTTGGTCCCTTCTTCGAACTTGGTCGTTGCATTGCCAAGCCACATGTTTGTACCAAATTTTGGTCAAAATCGGTCAATGCTTGAGAGAGTTATCGAAAGACAGACTAACGTGACGATTATATAAGCCCTGTCTCGGGCCATCATCTACACATATACAGGGTGGTTAAAATGTCACGCCACAATGGAAATTTTTTCAATGGGAAAAGTCCCTCAATCTCCATTAGTTACAAGATTTGGGATTGAGATTTTTATAAATTATTATCAAAACTGATGACAAAATTCTTAAAATGTTGCATTTTAGAGACAAAATTTCGGTAACTAATGGAAATTTATGGATTTTTCCCATCGAAAAATTTTCCATTGTAGCGTGACATTTTAACCACCCTGTATATAAAGAATTTCTTTACGAAAGTTGCTATGGATGTTAACTGAATTTTAAAATTTTAAAACCTCCATAACTTCGTCATTGTTGATCCGATCTGCATGAATCCAAAGAATGATCTTAATGTTTTTTGAAGCTCTTTCGATTTCCCTGAGCCGATTTTTCACTTTCAGCGGAATATTTTGAGATGCAGGAAAAAAAGTCACTAAAATGAGAAATATACCATGAAGGTGTAAACCGATTAAGCCCAGAGATCTATAATCAATACTACAAAGAATTTACTACCCATTGGTCAAAACCGCATGTCTCTACAACGTATGGTTCTCTCACAATCTTATCTGACTGTTTTGAGGTGTCCACTTAACTGCATACTATGGCTTCGCCGTAACCATGCACGTATTTTTTTTGGGTGCATGGTTACGTTTGGGGTCTCGCCTTAGAAAAATGGAATGTGGAATGGATCTCAAAACCAGGAATGACAATTGTGCAATGCAAAATTGACACGTACATGTATAGATGCGTTTGTGTAGTTTGTACGTCGAAAACGAAATCGTGGAATGGATGAATGCAGCTCAAAACTCAAAACCAGGAATGACAACTGTGGAATGCAAAATTGGGTAAAGGAATAGATGAGTTTGTGTTGTTTGTACGTCAAAAACGAAATGCTGCAGCAGAATTGTTGATTGCTTGCTGTGATACATTATAGGATTAGGTAGGATGATACTATTGGATGATTGCATTGCATCACACACGTTTGGAGAAAGTACCGCTTGAGAGGGAAGCATTCATCCATATAGTTAACCAACAAAGTTGTTTGCGCAATATGTGTCAATTATTTCTTCAAAAAATCTGAGTTAAAACAATTAAATTTCAAACAATAACAGAAGTTCTGTTACAGAAGTAACGAACTAAAGTGAAATAGTTGCAAAAATTGTACTGTTGGTCAAACTAGTGATTACTGTTCGACTTCTTAGCGAGATAGCTCTGAGATAACTTTTACTGCATGTTATAATATGACAGTTGTTTTAAATACTTTTAAATTAATTGATATATATTTACATGTATAAAATTAAGCTGTATTATTTTCCTGACTTGAGAGTTGGATGCACCTCAAATGTGCTGCCGTTCCACGTCGGTGAAGGACATTGAAACTATGGTGGCTTCTTCTTTTGACTTTGAGTAGCTGCTGGTAGTATTTTGTTTTCCAGATTTTTCGATATTTCCAAATTTTATGTTTTTAAGAAATATTGACAGGTCCTAAATTAAGGTCACCTTTTCCAACACAGTGGTGTTGTGTTCACTGGATAGTATATTATTTTTTTCAAGGTTAGATATTTTTAGAAGTTTAATCTCCGGCGAATTGGATGACTGAGTAGCCGACGTTGTTTTTGTTTATCTTTTTTGTTTACTTATTTTTAAGTTATCTGAACTAATCTGAAGTAGTTCATCTTGTTCTGTGACTTATGCTAACTTACGTGTTTTATCTTTTTTGATGTTCTCCCCCGTGTCGAATTATGCGTTTGATATATTTTTTTAAGTTGGCGAACTTTCCTCGACTCATCAATATGTTTTAGAATTTTAAAAAGAAATTTAAATTTATCTTCCTTGCAGACATCTGGAGAAGTAACATAACATGGCCACCAAAAAGACACTGCCTTCCGAAAGCTCTGAAAGTACGAACGAAGATAATAAGACATTTACTTGTACGAAATGTAAGATGGATATCCGTGGAGATCAACGGGAGGCACATCGCCGGGAACATTATCCAGCAGGACCAAAACGTCCGGCTCAGGCGCCCCGCCCAGGGCCAAGAAGCAGGACTCGGTAATGATTGTAATCATGATGACAAACTAAATGTAATTTTTTTAACTCGGCTAATGTTATTGCAGACGGCCTGCATCAGTAACGACTGAAGAAGGATCGCTCTTTGAGGCGGAGGAGGAGGAGGAGGAGGAGGAGGAGGAAGAAGAAGAAAATCGTCGATCCACCCTTCGTTCACAGACTGCTGCTGTCGTCGAACCAGATGCTAACGACACTTCGGTGATGGCTCGAGAACAACGGGCTAAACTAATCCATTGGAAGAACACCCCGGCATACAAAAATAAGAAGTAAGGCGAACAAAGTATATAAATTACGTGGTTATTATTTGCGAACTATCTAGCTTATCCGCATATTCTTTTCTTTCTTTCAGGTTCAAGGGGGCTTAATAATGATGCCTCTAAACTATGAATTATATAGAGGTTTTAATGTGTAAGAGCATGTTGATTGAATTAATATTTTCTTATTTTTCCTAACGTTACGGTTCAAAATGAAACCGCTAGATAATATTTAAAGTATTTAGAATAACCCATTATCCCTGGCGTTTCTTTTATTTGATGGAATAAACATGAGCTGGTTATAAAATATTACTTTGTTCGAACCTCATCTTATGTGTTAGGGGCTAGGTGATTGGCCATAAGAGGAGTGCTTGTGGGGTAGAGTCGACGGAAGATGATAACCCATGAAACACTAATCTAAAGCGTAGCTGCATATTGCTTTGACCATTTTGGCAACTTTTTAAGAAGACCGTCATCCTCGTTTCGTTTGATTTTTCTTCCCTTTAGAATATTTATGTAAAGCCCATTCTTTCAGTAAAAGTTTATTTTTAGAAATTATAGTCAAAAGTTAATAGTTTGTACATCGGCAGTTTGCAAGTTGCAACCAGTGAGTTTTATCACTTTTATCATTTTTTCAAGGCGAAATAATACTAAGGAAGGAATGACACGATAACACACAATAAATATTATTCTCATCCACCCATTTACCACCATATTATATTACACTTTATAATCATTAAATTATTTCATAAAAATTATGCTTTTCGAACTTGAGGGCAAGTTCGTGTTGACAATTACACATTAACCACAAGATTTAATTTATTTTACTTGATTGTGGTGAGCTCCTCCCACTTATAAGGAGTAGAGTTGTTGTACAATAACAGCAAATCCAACCAAGACAAGATCTGACCTGATAGTAAAAACATAGAAGTTTAGTTCAAATAACCTTTGCCCTTTAGCGACGACCTTACCATTTCCCTCCGCCTTGTCGTCGCGGCGCCCCGTTGCAATATTTCTTATTGTCACAGACACAATTCGTCACGAGCATTTCTTCCCCGAGGAACTTGAGTGTCTCGAAGGTACATCCCTCTGATGGTTCGGCGTCAAGGATATCAGGTCCACTTCCACAGCCACGCTCTTCAAATCCAACGATACGGGTGTCGTAAGGACGGGAGTAGTAGCAATCTGGAATTAAAACCGATGCAATATTTCAAGCTTTGTGAATCGTGCGACGCTATGACCCCCATTTCCGTGAAGCAAATTCGGTTGAGGAAAAAAGTGCCAGAAATCGTAAAAGTGGAATCATGAGTGTAAAAAAGGCAAAATGGCATGGACATAAACTCATAAAAATGACATGCATACGAGATATTTGCAGGTTTTTGCATTTGAATTTGCCAATTCTCCCAAGTATTCAAGTTTTTTTTTTGTATATCTGAAAAAGTGACTGACCTTCAACCCCCTCCTCACAGTTTTCAGTAAACTTGTCCTTTAAGATGTACGCCAACTCTTTGTTGTAATCACCTTTAGCCTCTTTAAATTTCTTCCAAGTCTTCCTGAAGACGCTGCAGCGTTGCAAAATCGTACCCGCGTCGGGGTGAAGGTCACCGACGCAGATGTAACAGCTCATGTTCCGTAGTGGGACTTTAAAAATGTATAAAAATACAAAGTTTGAAAATAAAGTTGTGAGTGAATACATTATGCATCGTATACCTTCGTTAAAAATCGTGTGTCGGTCTACAGGACTCTTTCTTCCCCACCTCACCATCCCCACGACTGGGCGTAGAAGGAAAATAGCGAACACGAGAAGAGTTGGGGTGACGAGGAGGCATTTTTTGGAAATCATCTTCACGAGAAATAACGACTCTCGTTAAGTTTGACCTTTAAGATCGTGAGTGAACATTGTTCTTGAAGGTGAAATTTTTTGTGTAAAAATTGAAACGTTTTATTTCCGGTGAGAGTACAAATTTTAAAATTCATTCCATGACCATAACAACTCAGAACGTTTTTCTAGAGAAACCTCAGAAATTCACAATATATGTAGAAATAATTTTTTTTTGATTTGACATTAATTTTTATAATAATTATATTATTAGAAATAATTAATAAATATTTAACTTTCTCCAAATGCTGTTAAAACCACTGTGGACAACGAACGTGATTTTAGCTGCCCGATCATCGGGCAAAATAAAAATATGAAACCAAAGCATGTGGAAATGTTAGTTTGTTCTTCAATAAATTAAATTTGAAGCAATTTAAAAGGAATTAAAAAAAATCGTTTTATACATATCTATATCTTGTTCCATGCATATTTCCGAGATTTCATCTGGGTTTTTCATAACCGGACTCTACGGACTTTTGTAGCGTTTCATTGCAAAATTTTCTCGAGAGAAATGTTGCATGAAATGAAGTAAATTATTTAAATCTCTAATCATCTCCAATTAATTAATTGCACGCATAATTAGAATTATCTTTTGATACAGGCTCCAACTATCTAACTTCTTGGCAAGTCAGGTCATCCATGATTTATTCATTTTTCCCTTCCTTTCCTTCCAATGATTTACAGTTATTTTGAGGAGATCTGGTCGTAAGTTTGGACAATATCTGGTTGCTCGTGTGATGATGATGACGCACAGAGCGATAAGTGTGGACATTTTCTTTTGCAATAAAAATATACTTAAATCAATCCATTCCAGTCAGAAAAAGAATAAGAGAGAAATCTAATGTGGCGGATACTTATTTATGTACACAAATAAATAAACCGTTACAAACGCATGTAACGAAGGGGTGCAACACGTGTGTTATACGTAGAATGAATATCATATTGCCTTTGCCTGTCACAAATTTGTTAAAATTGACACGTCTGACATGTCTTGTCCTCACGGTCACTGGAGTGTCGGAGGTCAAGACGAATGTCATATTCGTGTTCAGCGTTGAAAATCCGTGAAATTCGACGTCTGACATGATTTCTCATTTTGCCATAATTCCACACCCCCTTCCCGGAAATGGGTGTGGCATTTCCCGGGAAGGGGGTGTGGCATTTTTGGGCAACTAATTTATGGCTCGGGATGCCTAAAACAGATTAAAAAAATGTTTGGCTGTTAAAAAGCTATATATATATTATAGCTTTTTATCTTTGGGCACACCCCCAATGTTCTTCTGAATGAGTTATCTATCACAGATAGATTACCTTTAGGATTGCCTTTATGTAAGGAAAGAAAATAATACTAAAAAATTTTCATGCCCACACCCCCCAAATTTACGAGGGGGTCTGACGCCCATCATCGAACTCGACGCCCATCATCGAACTCGACGCCCATCATCGAACTCGACGCCCATCATCGAACTCGACGCCCATCATCGAACTCGACGCCCATCATCGAACTCGACGCCCATCATCGAACTCGACGCCCATCATCGAACTCGACGCCCATCATCGAACTCGACGCCCATCATCGAACTCGACGCCCCGATAAAAATTAGAAACACGTTGTAAAAAAAACTGCATCTCCAAATTTGCTCTTTTGACGCGTAATCTTACCAACAGACGGGCGGACATAACTAACCCATAAAGAGGTTTCACCTTTCACCCCTTAATAAATAACAAAATGCAGCTTGCATGTATGTATATTTGAGATAGCTGCTGTATGTATGAAATGAATTAGTGTCAAAATCACGTAGCTGTCATCAATGTCAAAAGTCATTGACGCACGAACGCGAGAAGAAACTTAAAACAGTACCAAAATCATATTGGTATGTTAATTGTGTGTGATAAGCGATAAATAAAGATATTAAATTCCTTCGTTTAGTAATCTTTGGTATAATTAAGGCTTGGAGTTATGAAGTACGAAAATTAGTATGGATGGATGGGACCATATATAAATATGAATAACTGTCCCAGGGATGATCACTATTCAAAGCAAGCGTCTCTCCCAAGCACGACAAAATCTTTTACTGCTCAACATTTCATAATTAAAGTCACAATCTCGACTTTTTTCCAAAGTTTTAACCTCTTTGAATACAATTAACGAAAAAAATCTTCATCAAAATGGTTCACATGAACGTTGCCTCCCGTTGCATCGCCCGTCACCAGGCCGCCGTTTTCCGTGGGATCCTTCCCATCCTGCTCGTGGCGTTGGTGCTCGTCGCTTTTGTGGCGTCAAGTTCTGCAGCTCCGTCTGAAAGGTGAGGATTTCATTATTTCGAAAACTTTAAAATTCGAAACTTTCGAATTTTAGACGAATGAAATTTCAATCTTTACTAATTTTTGATTTTTTTAAAAATTTTTTAGTATGCTTTTGTCCCCATTGGAGTTGGCATTTGGTCCTGTTCGTCGCTGTGCTGGGTTGTTATCTTGCAGACCGAGGGTGTAAATGGATCTACGTAGACACATGTAAAAAGCCGTCCCGTATTCAAATCTAGTTTAGAGGAGACCTTTTGTATTATTAACATAAATAGTTAATCTTATAGTTTTAATTATGCATATAAAAATATTTATTTAGTTATAAAGATGAGTACTACGATACTATTTTAATGAAGAGAAAGTAAAATCTTCGTTTAATACAAAAACTTACTTTTTAAATTCGTCAATTGTCCATATGCATTTTTATATACATTTTTGCATCAATTCATTCGTCATAAATATTTAAAATAAATTGTGAATGATTAAATTACATAAATTGTATCGTTTTTACATAATTTGTTCAATGTTGTATAACGCTCGAGTCGGTTTGTAGGTTTAATAATACGCGAAATATGTACCTTCATTTTAACGGGTAAATTTTATACCATCCAACGAAAATTTAGTTTTATAGTTTTGAAATTATATAGTCCAACAAGTATTTTCATCTTTCAATTTATATGTAGGATTTGAAATAATTTTTGTTGGAGGGGATCAATTTGTACGTAATAACACTTAAAATATTTATTTCATGCAAAAAAGATGATATGAAAGTATTATAACATTTATTACTGACTACTGCACAAAAATATCTAAAATAATTATTCAATTAGCATATGATTTAAAACCTCTCAATTAATAGTGACTAGTTTGCAAAGTCCTTTGCATAATATGATTTCTCGTCATCAAGAAAAGTCGTCCATTTCATTGGTTCCTCCTCCATCTTCACTAATTTTCTTAAAAGGATTCCTTTCTCTCTCCTTTAATAAAATTGTACCAATTTAGTTGACCCCATCCCAGGGGTCAATGTCTGTCGACGTCAATCCATAAATCCCAATGACGCACGTCCCTTCAAGTCGAGATGTCAACAAAGTAAAAATAAATTACATAAATTCTTACTTCTTAATCATGTCAATCTTTCTGGACTATTCACAGGATGTTAAGGATTGATGATTATCAGCCAAAAAAAAATTTGGACATGACCATCCCCAATTTCTCAGGGTTGGTAAAAGGAGATTTTTGTCTGTTCCGCATTTGCATATCTTACTAAATAGGAAAGAAACAATATCACGAATGACGAAGGAGATAACAATCTGTTAGTAGTAAATTCGTGCAAATTGAGTGACACTTTTTTGCAAGGTGTGAGTGTCCCAGAGATCAAAAGCCATTGACGCAGTTAGTTGGGGTGGGTAGTTAAATTTTCACTTGGTTTTACTTATCCAGCATACATGGTAATACTATTTTTAATATGGACGTGATATGGAAGGTGTGACCCTGGTGGTGGCGGTGATGGTGGTGGGTGAAAGGGTAAGATTGTCCAACATGTCGGTATAAATACCAAGCTTTCTTTCCATGAAGACCAACACTTGCCAAGAATCTTACCACAACTCATCTTCAACTGATCAAGAATTTATAAAATTTTTATAAATCTCGACTTCGTCGTCAAACTTTTCGATTTCAGTTTTAAATCCCTAAAAACTTTCAAATTTTCATCAAAATGGTTCACATGAACGTTGCCTCCCGTTGCATCGCCCGTCACCAGGCCACCGTTTTCCGTGGGATCCTTCCCATCCTGCTCGTGGCGTTGGTGCTCGTCGCTTTTGTGGCGTCAAGTTCTGCAGCTCCGTCTGAAAGGTCATTATTATTCAAAATTTGAATAGATTTCTGAGAATTTCTGTGAAATGCAGTATCAATCTTTACTAATTTTTGTATTTTTTCTACTATTTTAGTGTGTCATCCCCCTTGGAGTTGATTTCTAGTCCTCTTCGTCGCTGGGCTGATTCTGACTTCCTTTCCATCATTAGGTCGAGGGCGGTTGATAACTAGGTCGATAAAGTCACGACTACCGTTACGTATTTAAAAAATGAAGAAGACCTTTTCGTATTATTGTAAATAGTTTAAATAATTTCAATCCACAACATTCCAGTTAAAAAATTATCTGTAAATAAATTCATTTTAAATAAATCCTACTTTTCGCCACTGATTGTTATCAAGTATGGTTTCTCGTAATAAATAAAAAATATTTTCATCTTAAAAAATAATTCCACTTGGATATGAATTGAATCAATTTTTATCACTGCTTTATGGTCATCCGCATTAAAGGCATCTTAAAAATAAATATTTGCATCATTAAAAACAAATCAATTCTTTTTTGGCATAGTTTTAATGTCGTTTTTCAGATTTTTAATGAAATTAGTACATAGTGGTATTCTAATAGATAGGGTGTAAAACAGGTGAAATTAATTTCTCGGTTTGTGAACTAATGTGAACCTAATTTCACTTTTGAAAATCGCCAAACATAAACAATCAATATGCTCCTTATTTTAGGAAACTTATCAGTGCATTTATTCTGTAAGCATGAAATTTGTAAGGGAGCTTATTTCCTTTAAGAAAAAGTTATTGAAATGAAATACATAATTATTTACATCTCATGCCAATTGCAATTATCCGCATATTTCAAAATACTACCATTTTACAAACAGTATATTTACCAAAATTGCATTTCATTTTGAGACAAATTTTGCGTTTACACTGTGTAAATTACATATTTAATTGGGAACAAATCAGATTTTAACAGTAAAAATTATTATTAATACATATATTAATTTCACAAATTAATACGAATTATCCATCGTTTTTAATATCTATTTTGAACCACTATAAACTCATAAATTTTGACCAAATGGAAAATCACGTCATACATTTTATTCAGCTTCTTTCCTACAGCACACAGCCTCCCATTTTCATCTCCTCATTCAAACAAACCTGGAACAGAACATCTTCTCTTCACATCCGCCTTTGTTGAACTAATTTCTTTCTCATTTCATAAAATCGCACCCAATAACTTGACCTCGTAACAGCAGGTCAATGTCTGTCGTGTCTTGTCGACGTCAATCCATAAAATCGAATGACGCACGAAGCTCCAACTCGAGATATTAATAATGTAGAAATAAATCACTTACTTATCACAATCTTGATGAGGTTGACTATTCACGGGTATTAACTAATGTAGAAAAATCCATATAATTACTTATGCATAGTAAACTTACATCTCTTTTTTTCCCAAAATTCTGCAGGTTTTGCAATTCCTGGCAAAAAAAAACTATCACACCATGTATATACGTATCCGACTAAGGAGAGAACGTCTTATCCAATGACGTACGTATGTACAATACACGGCTTGTCGCAATAATTAATTCGCAGTGAAACTATTAAGGTGATAAATGTGTGTTCCGCATAATTGTCGTACTACGAATAATTTGCACTGAGTAAACTCTTCAATCAAATCGATTTCTCGGCCGGGTCAACGCACAGACGAAAATAGAATCGTCGAGTTTAAAAAGAATTGTAAGAAATACGTATTTTTTACAAAGATCAAAAGCCATTGACGCAAGTGTTGGTTCAAAATTAGAATGTGTGCATTTAATTCTTGACCTATCAGCAGGAATGATGGATCGCGTCTCGCCGGCGTCAGTACCGTGTGGTGCAAATAATTTTGCATTAAGGTGCGACTGGACTGGGTAACAAAGTAGGTCGGTATAAATACGAGTCGAGTCACTTTTTACGGAATCAAGATACAACGAGTCGCCTAATATACATCTCATTCAGAAATATTCTCTCGAATTTTCCAAACTTTTCCAAAGTTTTTGTCTCCACTTTTACGTGAAAAATTTGAAAATGGTTCACATGAATGTTGCCTCCCGTTGCATCGCTCGCCATCAGGCGGCCGTCTTCCGTGGGATCCTTCCCATCCTGCTGGTAGCGTTGGTGCTGGTACTTGCGGTCGTGTCAACGTCTGCGGCTGGAATTGTAAGTTGGAGAAAAATTGGAAAAATTTCCGAAAGATTTATGGAAACTTGGGAATTTTAATTTAACAATTTATTTTATTTTATTTTATAGCCAGCAGCAGAAAACTATAACTCGGAATCAGCGGCGAGATGGGGTAGCTCATTCGCATCGTCGGTGCTGGACGACCATAATTTTATTTAAGGTTGGTTCGATTTGATGATTAAAATGGTAGATTTGCAATTTTGAGTAAAACAAAATTAACAAAATTTGCATTTTTTTAGATCCTTGATGCTGCACCACCTGGTCATCTTTAATAAACTGTAACCATTCCATTACTTATGTAAACCACCTCATAGTTTTACCGCACACACAATAGCCTGTAAAGTTTCGATTTTAAGGAAATTGTACCATATTTCTAGTCCTATTTATATCACGGAATAAAAATAAAATTCGATTAAGATATTGTAAATCGTGACATGATTGCTTTTCAACAAGCTGTGAATTTCCATTATTTTCATTCGAACGGTTTTTGTTTGTCGGGGTTAACTTGTGATCTCACCCAATCCCGATTGCAATCTGGATCATGGAGTCTCGTCTGCTGGCCTACTTTCCACTTTCTCTCTGTTCTTTTGTACTTTCGTGATGCTTGACTTGGTCCCAATTTCTGGGTAAAAGGACACGTACGGCACAGGAACGTGGTGATGGTGGTGGAGAAAGTTGAGATTTTATATACTTTCACGGTTGCTTGGTCCATTGTTCCTCAGAAGAAGAATAACTTGTTGTTGTTCGTTCCACTTAAGGGAAATTTTTTTCATGGGTTGTTGCCTCACTTCCCACTCACTTCCGGGGATGGTGATGATGTCAATATGAAATGGAGAAGAAGGGCAATAATAATGAGGTGGGTGGGTGTGGGTACCTGTTATTCCGTGGAACTGGGATAAATTGGCAATTTATTTAGTTATGAAAGAGTTTAGAATGTTTTGGGATAGGTATTTTTTATCGTAAACAAGATAATTTTGGGAATTTGAAATTTGTTTTTTATTCTGTGGCACAAAATGAACTTTAAAGTTTTGGATTTTTAAAAGAAAACTGATACAAATTATGCAAATAATTAAAAAGTGCATCCATATGTTCGAGATGTTATAAGCAGATTTGGTCAAATGATTCGAATGTGTGAATAACAGTCACTGTCGCTAATTTCTCCTAAATTTTGGGCAATGAAGATGATTTTAGGAACTATACCAGTTTTTAAATGGTTTATTTATTTACCCCCAAAAAACTGTAAAATTGTAATACTTGGAAGCCTTTGAAGTTATATTTCAGGAAAATCATATTAAAAGTACATGAATAGATTCTTTCATGAATAGATCGTTAGAAAACTGTATTGGTATCATCAAAAAATGGGAATCAAATTATAATTATAAGAATTACGAACCAAGAACTCGAATACTTCAGCATACTTACTTTCTCCCCACGGAATCATAATCATCGTCTCAGACAAAAAAAAAATAATAAAGTCTGCATTTTTTTCGCCAGAATTCGCGCATCTCATCCACTTGTCATGCCGTGTCAGTGTCACCTATTGGACCGAGTGTATCGACCTCATTTCCATCCCGTCTCCTTTGGCACTGGTGGTGGCAGAATTCTCCGAGAAAGGAAAGCCCACTTACATACTTATTAGACTTTACATCACACCGAGCGAGTGCTGTCAGGGCCAGACTTGTAGCCAAACCAAACCACGCACCCGGATTGGCCCACTTTCTCCCCAGTCCACCAGGCAACCAAACTTTCACTCACCTGCTCCATCCTCCAGGAGGATCAACTTTGGCCAAACAAAGAAAGCCTAGAACGGTATAAATAATACCTTTGTGGATGACAAGACTGGAAAATTGTTACGTAAAATGAAATGGGAAACTTATGTATAATTTGATAATTTTTATACATGAAAATTCACTCGGGGGTCTGGAGCTCAATAAATTTTGTAAGTTTTGTAAAGTTAGGGGTATAAATCTGTACAAGATAAATAGATACCCTTGATCTGAGTAGATTTAACTGAGTAGATTTTCAACCTGATTTTGTTTCATATATTTGAAAAGGTTTGTAGAAATATTTGTAAGTTTACGGTGAAATTGGTTTGTAAGTTTACGGTGAAATTGGTTTGTAAGTTTACGGTGAAATTGGTTTGTAAGTTTACGGTGAAATTGGTTTGTAAGTTTACGGTGAAATTGGTTTGTAAGTTTACGGTGAAATTCGTAACCTTATTAATTTGTCAGGTTTCAAAGTCATTAAAACTAATAATGGGAGTATTATTTTTAATTTAAACTTAAGGTATTTCAATCTGATTTGTCTATGCTGAAGAGGCTTGTTCTACAAATATAAAAGGTATAAAACAAATATATAAATATAAAAGAAAATCAACTCATTTTTTGTATCCCAGTAAGAAAATTTTGTAAATGTACACACATTTTGCATAACGTTGCAAAGATTACGAAGTAAATCAGGAAAATCAATCTTTGCTATACTTCCACGTGTTAAAGACATTTCTTTTTTTGTACCATAATTTTCCAAGAATTACACAAGTACCCAATTTAATAAAAGATTCCAGTAAATTCCCTTCATCATCAGTTTAAAAAATGGTGTTCAAACGTGCCCGCATTACCAATAATAAGCACGCAACGTTTCAAATCTCACTCGGTTTTTGACGATTTATCAAAAAATGAGTTCAAGTTGGAAATCATGATCATCCTGGAGGCGAAAGTGGGACAAAAGAGGGAGAAGTTGGTCCAGAGAGAGGAAACCATCCATGATTTAGTTGAAACTCTGATATGTAAACGCATGCATTTTATAAGGCGAGAGAGAGCGAGAGATAGATGTCTATTGGGAAGGCTGCCCGTTTCTCTACCCGAGTTTTAGTCCTCCCTACTACCCGGGTTTTAGTGACTAAGGAAGGAAAGTGGGACATGACCTGGTTGAGATGCGTGTGCGTGAATTCTCCTTAACCCTGGCCCTCACACACTTTTGCACCACACTGGCCCACCGTCGCTGGGAGGAGAAACATCAACATCGTGCCAAAATTTTATCGGATAGATTGCAGTTTACTAGTTTTTTCTGCGTGTGTGTGTGTGTGGATAAAGTTGTGCAATAATCGACGTGTGAAGTATTATGAGTACGGTCCGAGGAGACATTTGGTGAAAGGTGGAAATACGGAGAGGAATTTTGTCACCAGGATAAAATAAGGTAAGAGAAAATTTTTGCATGTTTGCTTTATTTGCTAGAAACTAAGAGCAAGAACTTGAGATTTTAACAGTAATACTAATAATAAATCAGTATTTTTTACAATTTTCTGAAAAATTGAGACAGAACATAGTTTTTAATGCAAAATAGTGAAAATTTTTACTAACTTTAAAATTTCATATTCACTTTCACATTCAGAAATTTCTACCTGCATTCTATCAAAAATCAATTCTAAAAATTTCTAATTACACTTTTGGCACATTAATTAATCAAATCAGAACAAACTGCACAAATCTCTCCCTTAATTATTTCCCAAACCTAGAACCTGACCACCTTTCTCTCCCTCGTAAAGCATGCCCAACTAACGAAATTAATTAATACCAAAATTTTCCTTTCCTTGCCTTTACTTTCCATTCCCAAATTGGACACCAAATCCACTGCATTTCATCCAAAATTACACAATGCTCTCAGTTTCATCCACCACACTGCGTGATCTGCTTTCACTCTGTCGTGCTGCATGGGTTGTTATACAACTGTGCGAATCTGTCTGTCTCTTGCATTACAGGAGGGAAAGTAGCAGTTGTTCGTCGCTGCGGGTGCGTATCCTATCCCCGACCCGGGTATCATAATACCCTACAAAGAGAGAGAGAGAGAAAGCAGGAGAAAGTCGGGAGGAGAAAGTAGGTCGCTGGTTGTTTAGGTGGTTGGTTGCGATGGAGGGTTTCGAGTGCAAACTCGTCTCCTCAGCAGCATGGCCATTTGACCCACTTTCTGCCCAGGAACTCCTCCTCCTCGAGCGGAAACCCCCACTTTTCGCATCCTCCGATTCCCACCAAACCAATAACAACAAACTCCTCGCTTTCTCCACGCTCAATCTCAACTCCAGGTGAGTGACGACGAATTATGAATTTCTTTTTTTCATATAGCTTAGGTAGTTTCGCTAATTTATTGGTGCTTCTCTGGGATGCGTGAGATATGAAAAGGTGTCGTGTTGGAGGAAGTAAATATGGGATCGATTTTGGGTTTGGGGTGAAGAATTTTTTGGGGAAAGGGAAAGTTTGGAAATTTTGATTGGTTTAAGGAGGAAAGTTTACTTTGTTTCGGGTAGTGTTTCATGAAAGGGAGGGAGAAAGTAGGAATTTTGTTGGGGTGAAAGTGCGTATTTGGAAGTTAATATTTCTCTCTATTTTGAAAAAATTTGAAGAATTAACAAACTTAAACTTGGGTTAAGTATTTATTTTATGTAAAGTTTATTCAGTTATTTTTAGTGATTATATGAGGGTTAAGTCAGAATTATGAAGCATAATAAAATTTAAATTTGAAAAAAAAATTCTTCGCATTTTTCGAAATTATAAACAAAAATTACTAAAATTACACATTTCACCCATTTCTTTCCCAGCTCGCTATCTCCGTTCGATCTGAATCTGTCCTCTGCCGACGCTGAGGACGCCGTGTCCTCCTCCATCGTGGGCGTTGATGCCAATGTCGAAGTAAATCGCAAATCTGTGCTGTTCAATTTCCCAAATAATTTCCATAAACATTTTTATAAATTTCAATTATATTTTTCAAGGACATCAACAATAATTCCGGCCTCGTAGGTGTCTCCTTCCTCACTCTCGAACCCCTCGTTGCGGCCGAACTCGCGCCCAGTTCTCAATCCCGAGTCCACATTTTACGAAGTTGTTTCGCCCCCCGGGACGTGGACGATATGCAGAATCAAGATCAAAGTCAAGGACAAGGGGACCAACAACAAGCCGTCGCCAACAATGGGCAAACACGAATTATGTCCTCACCGCCATCCGCTTCCTCCACAACTATGAATTTCAAACATGAAGTCACTGAGCTTGAGGATGAAAGGACGCTCCCTAAATTTGCAGAGATTCGCACCTTCCATCCACCCCAGCAGCTTAGAGATGATCGAAACCAAACTGTGACTGGAAGTGATGCCAATAATGTGGAGGTACATAAATTGCAAAAAATATAATATGCAAAAATAAATTGCGAATTTTTTTGCATCTCAGGTTGATTGCGACGACGTGGATGGGATCTACTTTAGTATCCAAGAGCTGGATCAGTACGACCGTGATGGAGGGAAACGGTACATGATTGAAGATTTGATGGGCGATGGGTGCAATCCTGTCGATGGGGACGGCGACATCGTCGACAGTCCGGAATTTCTACCGCCCTCGACCGTAACAACGCTTGACGTGGATTTGTTGGATGTCGACGAAGATGATGACGACGTGGGGCAGACGTCAACCTCAAATTCGAACAGTTTCGATCTCGATCTCGATTTGGATGATAAAGGTGATAACGATATAGAATCGATTATTTTGGGGTATTAAATTAGCATAATATTACCAAATCTGGGAAACAAAACGCATCAAATGAATACCTAAATATTTTCAGAAGGCGACTACTCCATGGATGTCGACATCGCCGAGTTACGTCGCCACAAGCTACCCCAACTCGAAGGCGAGGATGGCGAAAAACAAGAATTGAAATGCAAATTTTGTGGATTTGTGTGCTGTTCAAAGAGCAGTTTGGGCATTCATGAACGACGTCACACGGGCGAACGTCCCTACGCGTGTAAATATTGTGGTCGTCTCTTCAACAGGTTTTCAACTAAATTTATATTTGAATCTAATACCATATTTAAAATTGTACAATTTGCTTACTTTAACAGTGCACAATGTTGCAAACATCATGAGCGATTACACACGGTATGTAAAATACATACATGCGCAAAATACCTAACAAAATGGAGAATCATGTGAAATTATTTTTTATTAGGGCGACAAACCGTTCGAATGCCAATACTGCGGCAAAAAGTATGCCGTCAGCACAAGGTAAGGTTTCCAAAAAATAATATAAAACATAAATAGCGGTAAAATAGCTGCAGTACCACAAAAACATGTATGCATATCAAGAAAGACCTGTTTACAGAATAATTATTTGGCACATTGTTTGTAACTAAATATGTAAACTTTGGTCATTTTTCAAGTAAATACTTGCATTTTTGGCGAATTTCAAAAATCATAAAAATTAAGCCAAAAAACTGTATGAAATTGCACAAAAAACTTATACTCAATGAACATTACGTCCAACTTTCTCCCAACCTAACCAAAATTTCATATCACTTGTCCTTTTCCCAGACTCAAACGCCATGAACGCGTCCACACTCGTGAAGAACCCTACAAATGCGGCGAACCTGGATGTGGAAAAACGTTCCGATGGTTCGATGCATTTCGCGACCATCGCAACACCCACAACGGCGTGGCCCTCTATCTCTGCTCCGTCTGCGGCAAAAGCTTCACTTCCTACCTCAAATTCTACTACCATGAACGAGGTCACTTCCTCAAACGGGAGCGAGATCGGGATCGCGACCGTGCAAAAAAATTGCAACTACAATTGCAAGGCATCAACCCGGATCAAGTCCAACCACTCATGGCGCCAGCCCCACCAAAGAAAAAGAAGGCTGCCGCCAAGAAGAAGAAACCAGCAACTCCGAAGACGAAACAGGTCGCAAAGGCGAATCGGGGTTAAACAAAAAAGTCCAAACTATGAAAATGCACAAGAAAAAATCTATAAACTGATAATTAATGTGTTCATTACGACTACAGCATTAAACCAAAAACCAACCAACCAAGAAAGATATTACGTATGTAAATTAGTAAGAAAACAATTAATACTCACTGGATCAATTTAATTATTGCGGATTGATTACCAATAATCAATCATTGATTGACTTACTTACTTGAAACGCTACCCATAATAGTACAAGATCCATGATTATGAATCATTCGCAGAAGAAAAACGGAACGGGTGCATCAGAAAATTTGTACATATTTTACAATCTTAAATACCTACTTTGCAGATCTCATTCTCATTAAATATTCCTAAAAAATGTGGTAGAAGTAGAAATACATATTGAATTGCTCGTTAGTTTTTGTCTTATCGTAATAAATAATAATAAATATTGGTATTGTGCTTAAACGTACCAGCTCATGGATAAGCTACGACTGTGACATGCATAAAAACATAAAATATAGAAAAATTATTGATGAAGGAAAGTGTAGTCGAAAATTAGAAATTGTTTTACTGTAAAAAAATGTCCTACCGTTTGGCACTGAAAATGTTCCAAATATTTAATTTGATAACGACTCGTTCGTTTGTTATCAATTTATTTATGTGTCCGTGGCGTACGCACCGTAGAAATCTCAACCTCAAAAATATTTAACAAGACCTTTTGCTCCAAGAGAAACTTATCCAATAGAAATGTTACGCTTAATAAAGAAAGAATTATAAAGTTATAAAATTAGGATTATTATCGTAATCGTAATCGTTGTAGTGAAACCGATCGACACGTTTTTTATAGATATTCACGAAAATTTGTACTTTATTATGGTTTAAACAACAATCTCAACTTGAAATTTTCAAGTAACTGAATTCTGAGTCAATCCGTACCTTTTTGCGTAGAAGGGTTAGAAACGATTTACAGAATTCAGATTCATATTTAATGAAAAATTATGAAATTACGTAATTACGAAATTGGATAAAAGTGTGTGATTGGTTTAAATGAAATTAACTTTTTTTTATATAGAAATTGCAATATTTTTTAACTTATTTCGATTTCGGTAGATATGAAAACCGGAATTTTTTTACCCAACCAATTTGGCAAGATGTTAATTTTAGAAAATCTTCATAATTTCATATTTCATTATTTTTTTGGAATCGTGGAATCGTAAAGTACAACATAGTTTGTGGCGAGAAGAATAGAATCAATATGCGAGAATTATAAATGTTTGAATGTTTCATATACCTACATGCATATTATGTAATGTGATTAGTGATGTGTGTAACGATGTCTCTATTTTACGGGTGTGGCCATACTTGATTATTTTTGTGTACCCCAATTTTAAGGAGTTGTAAAATGTGGGAGAACTATAAAATAAAATAAATTATTGATGGTGTATGAAAAAAAAACGTGCGTAAGATCATTTTTGTGATGAGATAGAGATAGTGCAAAACAGATCTTTTTAAGCATGATTAAAACATGTGTGCTAAATCTGTAAATGAAAACAGGGTTCTACTGCATTTTGTATTTCAATTGAATTTTAAAAGCAATTAATCCTGACTACATAATTATGCAGATTTATGTAGATAAGTATGCATAAAGAATTCATATACAGGCATAAATTATTTTTATACAGGTCTAACGTATGAAATTTAGATTTCTACCACAGTGTTGTCTTGTTTAAACAATTAAATCGTATGAACAAATCATATGAGCATGGCTAGTAATCTAAAAATTTAAACTAATAAATTATTAGTAATAATCTAAAATGAGCCTAATTATTTTATTATTTCACATCCGTTATTTTTATTTTGGCGTTTAAATTGTTCAATTTCGTATGATTCGGCTAATGTACTCAATGTGTGATGAACTCACGAAATATGAAACGGAGTACTTAAAATCTAATACTTTTATTACCATTTTATTGCATTATTAGCTCACCCTGCGTAGCACGGGAGCTATTGAATTCCTCTTGTCCGTCTGTCCGTCTGTCTGTTAACGACCTTTTTGCATCAATTGATGCTAATTAAAATGTACCAGGTCCATTTTTTAATAAATTAATAGCACCGTTGGTATCTAATAATCACTAACACAAAATGATGCGAAATAATTGGTGGACGCGATATACTACGCACCAATAGTGCAGAATCTCCGGGAGAAAGAGTCATACAATTTTGACATAAAGTTTTCAGAATTAAATAGGCCACTTGGCACCACATGCTGCGCAGGAGGTGCATACTAATTCGCGCTTTTCATCATTTTTCCGTTTATATTGCACCCTTGGTGCAAGAATATATAAAAATTATGATCTATTTTGTCGGCTTATTCCGCACCTTTGGTGCAAAGTTGTCTAAATCATTATGAACCTTATTTTGTCGCATTATTCTACACTATTGATGCAAAAAAATCTTAAAATTCTACACCTACTTATTCCGATTATAATGCACCATTGGAACCAAATTATAAAGTTTTATACTTATTTTGTGCACTCATTCGGCACCATTGGTGCAAAATTATATACATCCTAATTTATATTGCAGGGTGAGCTACTTCTAACGTTACTACGGTTTATTTTATTATCTAATACTTGTGCGAATATGGAGAAAAATTATTTTATTTAAGCCGTCTAAATCAGACAGGATTGGATTTCGGAAAAAAAATCATGAAACAAAACAATTGTATTGCAATTTCGCGACACATCTTGAACACTGTACTTTATAATTGGGCAGCATTTCTCTTGATACCAAAATATTGTGTCGTACGACAAATGTAATCATGTCTCCAATAGGTTTACGGTCAGGACTAAATAATTTGCATAATCTTCAAAAAGTGTAGCTGGTCCAGCCAGACAAGATGAATGGGTACAAATCAACGATATATTTATTATGTACACACGAGTCGTATTTAGATATTTACAGTATTTTTTAACTCGCTACAATATATTTTTTACTGACAAATTATTTAAATCTGGATTTATGTAAATAGTACACTTCAATTTCGAGACAACATGAGCCTTTATTGGTTATTTTTCCTCTCAATTGTGATATTGTGCCCCAATTACAGTCATCTTGTTTATGCTGATACTGTCGAAAACGGCAATAATGATAATACAGCCAAGGCAAAAGATGCCGACCTGGTCCCTTTGGTCCTGCCTAATGTCACGTTCTGTGAGAACACTGTGGTAATCGAGTTTTAATAAATAATTGACTAATTAATTAAGTAATTAATTAATTAAAGTTGAACCTGAATGCCTCCTCTTTCGAGTTCCGATGGACGCTCAATGGTCTCCAAAACTATTATGAAACGGTTCGGAAATTTTACGAGTCGGTTTACTTCACGAAAAATATAAGTCGCGTCCACAGTGGGATCGAATTAACGGTGTAAGTGTTGTATGTATTTTGGAATTAGCAAGTATTTTGAACGTATTTAAAATAATTTGGTAGCCACATCCGGGTGGGAATATCTGCAAAATCTGTAATGGCGACGGTGCAAGTTTCCCCGTATGAAGAGATGGCGATCGGTGCCTCGTTCGAGGGTCGATTGTACATCACTGCTCGACATGGAAATGCGTCTTTTATGACAACCAGGACCAGCAAGTTGAAGGATGATGTTATGGAGTTCAAGTAGGAATTTTTAGATTTTGGCAAATATTTTTAGGTTTCGGGTGTATCGGGTGTAATTTTTGCTAATTGGGAGATGAAAATTGCGAATTCTTGTGATAATGCCATATGATATCATATGTTTTAAATTGTTTATGTAAATATGTAGTAGCAACAATTGTGCCAATTTAGGCTGAAAATTTTTCAAATTTCTGCAATTAAAATATTCAAAATTTCTTGTATGAAAAGTTTTCATAACTGTATGAATGTATGAAATATGTCTCGTTTTGGGTTGCAAATTTCTGCTGGAAATTTCGAAATTCCTGTTGTAAATTTTTTATATATTTCCAATGAAAAGTAATTTCATAATTTTTTTACAGATGGTATCTCGCTCAAACTGAGCGAGAAGAGATTGGTCGCCTCATGGAGATTTATACCGACGCCGTGGTGACCCACCCAACTCGAGAGTCGTTGATTCTACCTCTGCGAGATAGGTTGAAACAAGCCGTGACTCTGGTAAATTGGCAATTTATTATTGCTTTAATTAATTATGACGATTTTAATTATTTTGAATTCCAATTAAAGGTTTTCAAAATTGTGCGATATGGAATCTCTCCCGTGTTCGAAGGGCGCCGAGGTTTGCAGCAATGTAGTAAAGAGGACTACAATTAAGTATGTGTAGCACGTGTGTAATAATTATCTAACAATAGATTAGTTTCATTGAGTTCATAGTTAATGAATGGATTTAAATATTACGGTGGCATTTGGTTAAGAATTAGCAAGTTGCGTAAAATGAATGATGTAGACAACCTTGTCAAATTTGTAAGAATGAAAAAGTGACGGACGGAGTTATACATTTATGATGGAAATAAAAACGACACAAAGAAAATTTGTTTTTTGCATAACTATTTGCATTGTTTCATTTCCTGTCGTTAATGTGAATGGCTGGTATACGACGCACATACATACATCCAATTTGCACAATTCTTTGCACTGGTAGAAATTGGAAGCGACATAAGCAAGTTTGGTAAGAATTGTAATTTTGCAAAATTCTATTTGATATTTAAGATAATACGTATAAAATACGTATAACTATATAGGTAAAAATCCACTGAAATTTTTTCTCTGCAATCTTCACGTTACTAAATTCAAATATCGGCAATTAAATTAATATTTGACATAATTTTTTGCAATCCACTATAATTTGCAGATAATTCCACGCCATGTCGAAAACACTGTTTGTCGCTATCACCGTCACGATCACAATCTTCGCCATTGGAATGACTCTGGCCGAACGGGAGGAATGCAAATGTGACATCGATTTCGACAAGTATATGGAAACGAAACTGTTTTGCGGTCAAGATGGTAAGTATAATTTAATTATGGTGACAAATTATGCAGAATAATATGTGTATTAATACAAAAAACAATTATTTTACACAATTTTAAAGTTTTTCATGTTAATATTTATTTCTTCAGTTAAAAACAATTTTCTGTCTGTGATTTTAGTTCGTGGATGTAAGAGCGATATGCTGTATGCCTGCAACACCGAGGGGGTTGTGAACATAAGGGAAAATTGTACCAAGGAAAATCTAATATGCGTCACAAGCTGCACGACAGGGAAATATTGCGTCGGAAAGTGTCAGCAGAAGTGATCATCTGCAGAATAAAAATGGAATAATTGTAGCAATTTGAGATATTAAATTTGGAGAATTGAGAGTAAAAAATATGTAATGTGAGAGTCATTTATTTTAAAATCACATTTTCATGTTATGCTCATCAATGATGCAGCATCTTTGATAATCGGATCAGGATCACCAATATCAATGCGTCGTTCAACGCCGTTCTACTGATTTATAATAGGTTGCCTTTTTTTATTAAGCAAAAGAAAAGATACATCAAGTAGATGAAAGGCATTTTTTAATCCCAAAAAATTTTGCTGCGCATGCCCCGTCTGTGTCAAATTTAGATTTGCAAAAACAAAATCCGCTGTTTTAGTCTAGAAAATCTGGCGACAATTAAAAATTTCCAACAGTCGAATATACGTAATTTGCGCAGTCATGCTTACAAGGTGTTACGTATATATGATTATACATAAATAAGTGGTACACAGTGAGAGGAGACAGGAGAGTATTTATTAGTAGAGAGTTAAAGATGGAGTGATGTACAGATTCATAACTAATTACATATACATATCTACGTAGGCATACATATACCTAACACTACCCTCTCACGAAAAAATTTTTCTCCTGAAAAATAGTCGGAAAGAGTGTGTAGGTTTGCAAACTAACAATTTCAGTAGTCACAATTTGAAGTAGAAATTTAGATGGTTTGGGACATACATAGGAAAAATTCATGGAAAAATGAAATATGAAATGACTCCGGAAAACAAACATGAACAAAGATTTTGCATGAATAACATTGAACAATTTAATACACATATCTAATGACGCAGTAATTTTGCAGGGCTGGAACTTGAGAAGATGGTATGGCTCGCAATCGGTGGTGGAATTGTGTCATCTCAGGCGTGGTGGTGGTTGACTCATATAAAACTTGCAGATTGGGACAAAACGATGAACAAAGAAAAATACATTTTTATGGTCGTGGTATGTGGTCCATCGGGACATCGGAGATACATAAATACGCAGACTTGTGAGGGTTTTCTCTGGGTGACCCATAACCGGACAACTCGAAGACGCAGGGTTTTGTGTGGGTGACCCATAACCGTGACTCGTTAAAAAAGGGGAACTATGTACAATGTGGATTTCCATACTTGAACACGCAAATAATATGTAGACGTTGCTCATTACAAACATTAATCTCAAGGCGTTATATTTCATTCTCAGCCTGGGAAAGTGGTGACAACGCAGATCGAGCATAAAAGTTCAGCAGAATTTTGAGACAAGGTGAATCAGATTACATTTTTGCAACAAAATTTGATAAAGAATTGGGACAATTTTCCAGACGAAATGAATAAAAATGACATTTTTGCAAATATTTTGCAGAAATTTTGATAAATTTTGAACGAATTTTGATCAAAATTTTTCAGAAATTAAACGGAATTTTTTTTTTACAATATTTTTACGATTTTTTAACAATTTTGAAGGACAATTTTGCATATTTTTTTTACGTGTTTAAAACAAATAACGGAATTTTGAATTTAGCATATTTGCTCGAATTATGAAATGTAAATTTTGGACTGGAGATTTGGAAATTTTAAGAATGGGGGAAGATTTTCAGGGTGGTTTAGAACCAATTTACAGACCTGATAGCATCCGGGAGGATAATCCAATTTACAGACCAGATGACGAAAATTCACAAAAAAAGTTTCACAGGAAAATCACACAGTTTACGCAAGGTTTTGAGAAGAGAGATTTGGGAAGTTTCCCTATCGGAAGCAAAATGACAAGCTCTAAGGGGCGGTGGTCAAGCTGCTTAGTCGTCGCAGTCGTAGCAAATTTGGTAGGTGATATGTCTTGCGAAGAATTTTGAAAATTTTAAAATCCATTGTGAGTGGGAGGAGCGAAAGAAAGTACTCGACGGTACACCAATGTTATGTATATATGATTATACATAAATAAGTGGTACACAGTGAGAGGAGACAGAGGAGAGTATTTATTGGAAGAGAGTTAAAGCTGGAGTGATGTACAGATTCATAACTAATTACATATACATATCTACGTAGGCATACATATACCTAACAAAGGACTCGTGTCAATCTAGGTCATGGTGACATGAAATGGGAAATTATCAGCAGAAAGAAAACAATATTCTACTTCCTGACCGTCATCAGTTTCGCCACGATAATATTCTATTCCCTGTACTTTGAGGGAAGTGTGTTTACCATGTTATTTCAGGAGTAAGTAATTTTGTGATGTTATCAATTCCGATATGATCTCGATCTTCTATGTATTCCTGCAGAAGAACGTTCTCCAAAGCAGGTCGATATTTTTACAACCAGTCCGGAGTCCTCCTTATCAACACGTCCGGATGTCGGATACCCGACCTTGACCCATTTCATGCCTCGGTGAGCAAATTTTTTCAAACCAACGTTTCAATTCAGTCCTGTTCCCCGCCCATCGTCAGTCTTCAAGAAGAATATGACGGTTATGGGATTCATCGTCGTCGACGCCGCAATTTTCACTTGAATGCGACAACGTTGATCAATTCTCAGTGGTGGTGGATCTGGACGACGTGTTGTGTTCGCAAGATCAAAATAAATTCGGATCAAGTCGACATAAAAATGGAGTGAGGAGATTCGATTTACATATTATTGGACATTCAAGGTGTTGATTTTTAATTTATAAATTCCAGTTCGGATCCAACTTGTACTGAAATTCCATTAGATTTGAATGGCTTATCAATTGATGAGAATGACGAAACACAATTTGTCAGAGTGGAATGTGGCGCAACTTTTTTTGGTGTTAGGATAAACTTTTATAACGACTCTTTCGCTCTCGTGCCCTCACCAAGGGTTCTACTTCCGGTAAAAAGCAAGTTTTGGGCTGACCAGAAAAACCAATCTTATCATCAACCTCCAAGCGTCCTGATTATCGGTATGTCGAATTCTATAATATACTTACAAGTACAACAAAATTTCTATCATCATTTTGGGCAGGAATCGACTCCATTTCACGCTTAAATATGATCCGATCTCTTCCCAAAACGAAGGCATTTCTTGAGTCGAACGACTTTATCGAGATGCGAGGACATATGAAAATTGGGCTGAATACGTTTCCAAATATGATGGTGATCTGCATATATATTTAATTATTTTAATTTACGACCAGAACTGGATTAACTAAAACTAATTTAATTTCAGGCTGCCTTGACGGGAATGACGGAAACCGAAGTGGTCTCCTGCTGGCCAACATCCACCGCAAAATTGGTCAATTGTCCATTCGTATGGACAAACTTTTCCCGATTGAATTATATTACAGCGATGGTAGAAGATTCGTCAGATTTTGGGACATTTAACTTTCTCAAGACGGGTACGATTAAAATTATTATGAATGACCTCCGTAATCTTGATTGAGACAATCAAGATTCCTCTTCTGCTAGGTTTCATTGCCTCTCCGACCGATTACTATTTGCATCCATTGCTAATCACCGAACGTCAGACAACCTCTGGTGGGTCGGACAATTGCTTGGGCGGTGGACTCACTACGACACGACTTTTACTGAGATACATTAGCGCCATTGTTGACCCAGTGGGTGGCGTAGCCCCGCTCTTTCTCCTCTCTTGGTTCACTTCTGTGGTTCACGATGACCTTAATGGGCTCAAGGTGACATTTATTAACTCATCAATCGATATAATATGTATTATACATATATGTTTTTTCTGCGAATGCCATTTATTACAGCTATATGATTCCAAATTTCACTCCTTCCTCGATAACATTATCTCCTCACGCGTGGGTAGGGACGCCATAATATTTTTCATCTCGAACCACGGAAATAGCTTCGGACCCTTTCGTCAAACATTTCACGGTCAATACGAAGATTCCCTCCCATTCTTCTTCCTCCGACTGCCTGTCAGTTTGAAGGCACGCTTCCCTGAATGGCATTCCTCGGTTGAGACAAACTCGGCTCGGCTGACGACACCCTTTGACATTTATGCAAGCCTGGCCCACCTTCTTAACATGATTGATCCATCGTTAGCATCGTCTCCTCGTACTGCTCGCCGTGGTCATTCCTTCTTTAAAAGTGACACACCGGAAAACCGGACCTGTGAGAGTGCTTCGATTCCTGGAGAATTCTGTGTGTGTAACATTTTCCCAGATTCCTCAGCGTCATCACATCTTGCCGATAAGCTAGGTCACTTAGTCCCGGAGAAGATTAACGCCCATCTGGCTGAAAATAGCTTACGATGACTTTCTAAATGGATTTGAATCTTCGCCCTGGGAGGCCGAGTTTGAAGGTAGAGTTCGGATGTAGAATTCGGCGAATGAGAATTCGGGGGTCGACAGTCGGGGGAGTTGTCGGAATGTATTCAAGATTACGAGATGAAAATTATTATGTTTGCAAAAATTTGTGGGCGGTGGAACAAGAAAAGAGGGAAAACAATTCTTTCCTAGTCTGCATGCTTATTTGTATTTGTGCCATTTTAGCAGGCTGTGTTTTATTTTTATTGAATAAGCTGTGTGTCATGTAAATTTTGCAAATTAGAATTGCAATAAACAGGCTAAAGTTGAATCTGTTCAACAACTTTTTTTTGTCTCAAACATCCAATTGTTTTCATCACATACTGTAAGTTTTTGGTATCCCATCATCTCAAATTATTTTGCGTTAGTATGTACTAAATAGTTTCGAGCCTAGGCATCATCAGCACTTATATCACACACTGGGCGCCACGTCTCGACCTGGACGCTGCATTCGCGCAAGAGTGATGAAAACCTGCTCCAAAGTTGTTTCCGTGATGGAGTACTCCGCGATGAGCTTTTCGTACTTGACCTTCACCTCCTCCATCTTGCCAAACAGAACGTCCCAAAGGAGAGTCGCGTTTTGTATGTGGTACTCCAATGCCGTCTGGGAGTAAAAAATGAGGTATTCAAGACAATAAACTCGAAGAAAATTAGATGGCCCAGTTATGCACATATTTGTATACCGCATGTCTATCTTTGAGCATGCAAGGATCGAACTTTTCCAAAATTTCGAGATTTAGCCCATCTATCTCTTCGTTAAGCGTGAGTGCTTCTTGAGTCAAGGTGATGGATAAGGTGAAGCCCTGGGCGAACTTGGATTTTAGATATTGCACGCCTCCGAGACATTGGAGACGACCGTTGACCATGATACCTAACCTGGAGCAGCACGCCTCAATTTCGTCCATGCTTATCCGGAAAACAAAAATTGATAATTAATCCTGACATGTGTGAAACCGAAAGTGTTTTTATTTACCTGTGCGATGTGAGAATGATAGCTCTTCCAGAGGCTTTCGTGGCCATGATAATTTTCCAGAATTCTCTCCGACTCACGGGATCAACGCCGCTTGTCTTAAGGAAAATTTTCAAAATCACAATTTATAAAATAGTCTGCATATCAGAATTTTATGAATAATTTACCGGTTCGTCGAGTAAAACGATGTCAGGGTCTCCAACCAACGCCTGAAAACTCGTACTATTTTAGCCTTGTTTAACTACATAATTTGCATAATGTCTTCCTTATCCTTACCATAGCCGCACTCAGTCGCCGCTTCATTCCTCCCGAGTAGTTTCGACACTGAACGTCCTTACTATCGCTCAGCCCTTACAATAGATTAAGCCAAACGTCAGGATGGTACAAAAATTAATGTGAATAATTGATGATTTTGTCCCAACCTACTCGGTCCATCCACTCGGCACACTCTTTCTTGACCTGTTTGACCCCTCTCAAGCGGGCGAAAAGAGAGACCATCTCGAGTCCACTGAGGACCCCGATAATGCCGTCAAATTGGGGACAGTACCCGATCCGGGAGTAAAACTCTCGGCCTGAATTTGCCAAGTTACTACCTGAAATGTAAGCGTTACCACTTGTCTTTCTTTCGTCCCCCGTGAGCATGCCTAAATTAAGTGAGGGAGCTTATCATGAATTGTGCTACTTTGGCATAGCTTTATAAAATTGTGACTCACGGAACGTCGTCGTTTTCTAAGAATATAATAAAATATTTATTGCACAAAATTACGTGTAAACTTTAAAAAATTGTATTTTCATAAGCAATATGACTGAATACATCTATGTATGCAACTTACGCCTGCTCCATTGACACCCAACAAACCGAAACATTCGCCGTGATGGACGCCAAAGCTAACGTCCGCCACTGCAGTAAAGTTTCCGTACATTTTGGCAAAGTTCTCCACCACGAGAGCGTCTTGGTACGTGGCCCCTACGGCAGAAAATGTACCATATTATGCGTAATTTTATGAATTCCTAGTATTTTAGAAATGGGGGACATTTGTTCTAGCACGATAGGACAAGTTGACGCGATAAAGATAGCGACAACATCACAATATTTCATTTTTCACACAATTACTTTATTTAAAATAAATAAAACTTTACGTGTTCTGACGAGTTCTTTCACCCTGGTATTCTCTTCCTGTACGTCAGGATCGATTTGTCCTGGAGGTTGACATGTTCCCCCCAGCTCCATGCACTCTTTTCTCATTGGCAATAACACGACCTCAACGAGGAGGAGAATTACCTCGTAGATGCCGGTCACAAGCAAAAGGTAGAACAACTCCTGTCCCAATCCTGCTATATGAACTACTTCCCTTGTTTTATTCTCCATTATCATCTCTATCTTCGTCGTCGTCCAGGCCAGATAAGGTTTACGATTTACTTAGACATTTTGCTTCAGGATAAATGGAACAATCTTCTGCAGAATTACAAATGACAAAGTTCTCACAATTTGAAACCTTTTTTTGCAAGCTACATCGGGATTTTCTAGCGAGTTATATCAAAAAATAAAGCCAAAAATTAGGAATCACTTTCCGTTGAATAAAAATATTGACGGCTAAGTTCAATTTCCCGTTTTCTAACAATAATTTGCTACGTCAAGTCTGAAGGTGAATTATTTTACGACTACTTCACAAGTACCGTAAGTAAGCTGACTTGCCACTAGTACTATGAATCGGTGGCATTCGGTGGTAAAGTTAAGAACGTGTGTCGCGTTATACATACATTTAGGCTACTCTGAGATTTTGTGTAATAATAATTTTTTGCAATACACATTGATATTAAAAATGTACTTACTGCAACAGTGTGTTTCCCCTGGGTTCCAATATTTTTTGCGCATGCCACGAACGCAGATCAGACTTTCCCCATCGCTGGGGAAATAGACGCAACGATTGTTGTCCAATGCAATGGTGAGGAAATTGCTGAGACAGAGTGCAAACCCAAAGCTTGGATACCACATGAACAGTACCCGAAGGAATATGGTGGTCACTATGAACTCCTCTTTATCCCGTCCGCTGTATATTATAGCACCAGCCACGCCTAAAAATGATTCATATGAAAATGGGGAAACTTGGCAAGGTTTCTCACAAACCATGAGAATGAGTTGGTCAGTATTTTCATTTTTCACCCATTTTACTAAAAGATAACATCATGCAAATCCACCCACCAGCAATTAACTGCATAACCAGCACGACTGAGAATCCGGCCGCGACATGTTTAAAAACGAGACTGAAGAAGTGCGATAACGTGATGGAGGCATAACAGGACACGACCAAGATGAGGAATAAGACACCTAAAAAAATTTAGCAAAGTGCTGACTTGCAAAAACAATTATATATGAAAGTAAATATTGTTACTACACCTCCAGCAGACTTATCAGTGTAGATTGCCTCGCCTTGTATACATAATATCCAAATGAAAATGACACTACAGGTTGCAAAGGCCATGACGAAGTCGCATACAATGCAGGCGCCCCAGTAGATCAACGGACTCACCCCGGTCATCATTTGAAGCTGTTTAGTCTATAATATGCACATCAAAATTTAAATGACAAATTTCGGACCTAAATTATTAATCGCATAAAACGAAAATCAAACCTACATTACAGACTTTCTCCTCCACTAACGGAATGATAAACATTGCAGCGAATATGGCCATTCCGAGCGGACCTAGGAAGCACAGTAACCCTGAAAGTGAAAAGGTTTCGAGTGCGTCCGTCAGCCTCTCCATCACGCCGAGATTGCGCAGGCGCGAGAACGGATGCGTCGTGAGCTCAAGACGTGGCGTTGCTTCCTTTTTTGGTCGATCCATTGTGAGAGCGAGGAGGACGTTGGACGCCAAATTGAGGGCGAGAGCGTCCTCGTTATTGTATTTTGTGTCAGCTCCTGTCTGATAATAGGCTGTGATATTTGTCTGATTGAGCTCCAGAGCGAAAATATGCTTTGCTTTGGCCGAATCGTGGGCAATAATTCGTCCGAGTTCATCGGCAAAGGGTGCATTTCCAGTGTAGGGTTTGGCAGAAGGGCCAATTATGTGAGACCATTTAGTTTCGTCGAGCGTCTGTCAAGATACAAACGTTTGAACTTGATTTTCATAAATTTTACAATAAAATGTGTCCCACCTTTCCGACGTCGTGATAAAGCGTTATCTGAAATAAGGACAAAGAGAAGCGACGAAAACTAATGGTAGAACCATGTATTTTGCCATAAAGCTTCGTTAAGCTCTTACAATGCTGTCGTTGTATAGGTGAAATCCGATTTTTTGCGCACTTGGAGCATCCTCCCTGTTCAATAACGCAACAATCATACGAGTTCCTCCTTGGATGCAGAGGGAAAAGATGAGCACGGGGAGCAGGATCTATACATCCCGGAAATTCAATTGAGACGGATTAAGAAAATTTTTCGCACATATCTACTTTATATTAGAGATACCTGATTACCTGCATCGTCGTCGATTTCCATTTTCTACACATGTACGAGAATCGTTTACAAACTAAAGCAGCAAACTGCTGACACCATAATGTCACCCCGCGTCGACGGGGCTTGATAATGTTCTTGCTACGGTCTGTTGAAAGAGTTCCATTTATGTAATCGACAAGTATTTCTTGACACCTGACCTACCTTCCGGGTTTACTTCCGGCAGTTCAGCGACCGTATCCTCCGATCCTGCTGGTGCTATCGATGGAGGTGTTGACCCCACATTCACGCTATGACTCTCACTTGCAGCCGGAGGTACGGCAGAATTAAGTACCGCTGGTGTTGGGGCCGACTTGTTATCTGCGGACAAAGCTTCGTCGACTCTAAAAATTGTACGTGTTCAGAAACTTAACAAAATGTGTACCACTGTATTTTGTGTATGGTGTACTTGATGAAAACGTCATCCATTGTAGTAAGCGACATGCCCATTGAAATAATTCCAAGGCTTTGTTGCTTATCTTGCAAAACTTTGAATATTTTAGGAAAGAGGGACGTCGGGCAGTCCTCAGTGGGCAAAATGATACTCAATTCGCTTGCGTTTTTCCTTTCTTCTAATGTCGCAGTGGAAACGTGGCCCTGCACGATGGCTAAAACGCTATCTCCGCTATTCGTAGTCATTGTGAGGTGGAGTGTGTATCCCGCCCCTGAAGATAAGCTTAGATTAGTAATCTTAAGATAAACATAAATTGGAGAAGCGTTGTGCGTACCATAATATTTTTTTAGGAACATAGAACTTCCGGAGCACTGGACTTTGCCGTGAGCCATGATGGCAATCCTGTCGCCAAGCACATCTGCCTCCTCCAAAAAGTGAGTAGTCAAAATAATCGTTCGATTGCGTCGCTCAGCCTGGATTTCAAATACAAATTTGGTCAAAATTTTAGTAAATTTCTGAAATCAAATGAATCAGCAAACCAGTAAAGCGTCCCAAATGGCTCGCCTTGCTTCGACATCTAATCCGCTGCAAAATTGACACTTTGACAACAAAAGCGAACTATACACAAGTTATAAAATACTAACCTTGTGGGCTCATCGAGAAAGATAACCTTTGCATTTCCTATCAAGGCAATTCCTAGACACAATTTTCGTTTTTGTCCACCGGATAAATTTTTTGACAAAGAATTGGCCTTGTCTGTGAGACGGAGGCTGTTCAACATTTGAACACGTTCCAATTTGGCATCCGATGAACTCATTCCTTTCAACTGAAAAATTGTCAGTTTTAACGAAAACAAATCTTAAATTTTGAAAAATTTTGTAGCCGACTCACCCGCCCAAAGAATGACAAATGTTGATCGACCGTAAGGTCGTCAAAGAGTAAGTTGTGCTGCGGGCATAGACCTACCTGTGACCTGACTGCGTCCGGATTTTTAACGATATCGACCCCGTTAATGATCACGCTCCCACTTGTCGGACTCATGACACCAGTGCAACAAGCAATCGCAGTCGTCTTCCCAGCCCCATTGTGACCTACATATTTTATTAATACCAAGCCTTCCAAAAAGATAACACATAACAAAAAATAATACGCACCCAGGAGTACGAAGATTTCATCCTCATACATGGACATGGACACTCCATCAACGGCATTCATCCGCCCAAAAGATTTCTTCAAGTTCGATATCACGACCCCGGCTTTAAGTGTGTCGGGCTCTTTTTCGAAACCCGGTTTCTCGAGAGAATCCAGGTCAGACTCCACAACCTCTGAACTAACTTTCGTACTCTTCTTCCGATACTTTTGATACAAGTCCTGGAAAAACAGTAAAACAACTGTCCAGTGTCAGAAGTCCGCAAAAAACCTGGGCAAGCGCAATGTGTCCGATTTATTAGCTTTGTGAAAATTACCGAAACGGGATAGTACCACGGTCTCCTCACGCCATATTCGGTTCGCATAATGTTTTCCAGGTATATGGCCAACACGAGGTAAAAAAGGGCAGTGATAAGCAAAGCTAGGATCACATATCCCAAGGTCATTGTTTCCTGGGGGTAAGCCCGCTTGTAAAGATCTCCCCACGTGATACCTTAATTTTTTTTTAATATATGCGGTTCCCTAATGTTGTCGCTTTTACAGATTTTTTTCATATACATATATTTCATACCTTTCTCCCCATCTTCAAAATTTCCAATGATCAAGAAGCCCATTGCCAGCCCGAAATTCGGCAACAGGCACAATGCGAACTTCTCACTCAGGGATAAAAAATCATACGCCCCAGTCCCAAGAACTATAGTCACCGAGGCAGTCACAAAATAAATAATTAACCCGATACTGGTTCCCAACGTGGCTGCAGATACAAAGATTTGAAGAAATTTATAAAGACAAGTCATTAAAAGATCAAGTACTAATTTTGGACCAAGATTTTGACATAATAAAAATTTTATATTAAATATTTTTATCAAATCAAAATTAAAGCTTACGTTTCGTGAAAAACGTCGAAATGAAGAAGCAGAATGTCGTTGAGGCGAGGACGAAGCTTTCGAGCAGAATGATGAGAAGGAACACGTCACAGCCCCAAAACATGCTTTGAGACCCAACGCATCTCAAAATAATTGCCACCCCCACGACGGAAATGGTCAGAGGGATCATAGAGTTCGAAGTCCAGGCCAGCCAGTGCTCCCAGTTCGGAACGCCGCTCAGCTTCATTAGCTCCTTTAAATATTTAGAAGACAGAAATCTAGATAAGTGGGTTATCATATCGACGAATTATGGTGGAAAGTATTACATAAAAGTGATATTACAGAAAATTCTTCCTTTTTATGTTTGAAAGACATATGAAAAAACGTGTACATGTTTACTAATACCGTATTAGTAATACGTAGCATTAAAAATATGTACGCTGTAGATAGTTATCACACCTTGATCCCGGTTACTCGCTCTCCCACGACTCTCCCGATAATCGAGGGGACGATGAACATAAAGCCGTATAGTAACGTGTGGGCCTTGATCGCGATCATCATTCCTCTTCCATCTGGGAGACCACTGTTCGGAGTATTCTTGATTTAAAACCTCTTAATCCTGGATTTTTAAATATGTCATGCGTACCTTGGTGGTTCATCGGAATTGTCCTCACTCGGAGTTTTCGGACAGACGGATCTGCCCAACACATTCTCAATATTGCATTTTGTATGTAAATACATTATTTACATGAAAAATGCAATTTGTATTATTTAAAATAATACAAATTTGACAAGTCACTTACATTTCCTATTGGGGTTTTCCCTGTTAAACTCTTTATCAGAACTAGCTCCGTTTTTAGCTGTACTTTGAGAAAATCTTCTGTCTGAAATTCTAATCGTTCCATCGTCCCATCGGTCCATCGTTCCCTTTTTCCCCCATCATTCTAATTTTGTAGGGATACGTTCCCTCGCCTCTTTGTCGAATGGAGGATAAGCCCTTGCCAAAGATAACCCCGGCTTTGAAACCGATGTCCTTAATCCATTTAAAACTGCTTTGTGACACTTTGTCTTCCAGGCTCTTTTCTGATTCGAAGTACTGCAAATCTGCTTGAAAATTTTGGTGAAATTAGAGCAACAGAAATTATGTGAGCTTATTATTGCTGTCTTTTGCAAATTCGACCTACTAATAGATGGTGAGATTATGGTTTTAAGTTCTTCCACAGCGCTTCTTATGGCATCGACATCATTTCCTGCACCTCCCTTTTCCGGTGCCCATCCAATTGTGCAACGATCTCGAGGTGAATCACAATTCGAGGACTTGTGAAGGTTCGTAACATCAATTGGAAGGTCGCTTTTGTTATTAGTTTTCTCTTCGTACATTCCGGGTGAATGTGAGAATGGAGGTGGCCTATCAGGTACTGGTCCTGATCCGGTACTGGTCAAAACGATCAAACCCGCAAACAATAAGGGGAGGATAATTTCCATCCCAGTAACAAACCAGTGCCTCTTCCGGATGAGTAAATTCTTAACGAATAACACTACTTTAATAGTTGTTAAATTAAATACCAATATACATATTTCTACCTTCCAAATGAGCAGCATGAGTTTGTAGCCAGCACCACGAGGCGCTGGGGGTTTAGGCGGCGGAGGTTCGGAGGGTGGAGGTTGATCGATAGATTCGATTGCTTCATGGTTGGACGGGGCTTCGGAGACGGGAGCGGAATTGACATCCCAGGCGATCGGACCGTTTGATGCCGAATCCATTGGAATAATTGAGGACAGAATTAAATTATAGAATAATTATTATAGCGACGTAAGTCATCCGATGTCAAGATTATTTGACACTTTATCAATCTATAAGGTTACGACAAATGACCGAGTTACAAAATAAATTTTCATTTTTAGAAAACTAAAAATTGTTGAAAATATGCCATTGGTTACAGTTTTGGAAATGTAATTTTCAGTCAAAGTGCTTATGGAACCGTCATGTCCGTCCGTCTGTCCGTTCGATCATTTTACGATAACTTTCGTTAAACTCGTCCTAGCGACTTTAAATTTGGTATGTGTAGTATGTGGCAAATGAGGAGTTAAATTTGAAGATGGGCGAAATCGATTAAGTGGTTGACCGGTGGTGGTCATCTGGGTGGGTGGAGTATTTCAAAATCTGAAAATTGGCATTGAGATTGCTAATGGTGTCTAATTGAAGAATATGAATTTAAATTGGGAAAATTTTCGACTGGAGGGACCCGATACCATACCGATTGTTGAAAATTATCCAATCGAGCTGAAATTAGTGCAGAGATTGCTAATGGTCCCTGATGAAAAAATATGAATTAATATGTGGAGGGACCTTTAAGGGGGTGACCCATATCGATTTTTAAAAATTGTATTAAAAAGATGAAATTCGCTCCTGACACTCGTAGAAGACTGAAATTTGGCATGACCCCGTGGGGGTAGACTAGATTGAAAAATATAAAGTAAATATTTAGATTTTTCCACAGAGATTTAACAAGGTGACACACTGCTTTTTATATTAGTAGAATAAAAATGAAATTCGGTATCATGGGTAAGGGCACATCGGACTAAAGAATATGAATAATATTCATATTCATTGAATATGAATATTTTTGTGGGCCCAGCCCAAACTCCAGAAGACTGAGACCCGTAATGGTTTTAAAATTGGTCAAGGAGCTGAAATTTTGCATGCTGGATTATGGGAACATTTTTGCCGATTACGAATAGTAGTTGGTGCAGGTCGTCTGACTACAAGTTAGAAGCTGACACTGACCCTGACTCGGGCTAAATAAACGCTGTACACTGTTTCAAGTTTTCAAAATAGTACCCTCGAGATTTTGATCTTAAAAAATCAAGCTGAAAATTACGATGATTTCATCTTAACGAATTAAGTCTCTATGTCTGCCCATTCAAAAGTTATTAAAGGTCAAAGTCGTTGGTACACAGGCCCAGGAGATGTGTACCAACGATTTAAAAAATAATTATTTTATTTGTAACTCCACCATTTGTCGCAACCGTTAACCTTATAAAAACTAATTAATTTTGACCTGGATACCATTTAAAAACGGAATTAAAAATGGTTTCTATTGCATTTGGGGGCGGATTTACTGGGGGGCAGAATACCATTGAGACCGACTTGTGGGGCGGTGATAAAATCAGTTGGGGACTGAATTAATGCAAACCGATTTTGAATATTCTACTGATGCAGTTATGATTTATTAGAGACCTGGAACTGATTCGACAACAAAAATTAGAACATAATACATTTTTAACATGAAATTGCAACTGAACCAAATGAACACACGATATTAATTTTGATAAAAAGATCGGATTTGATTTTGATAGTACTACAAAAATAAACTAAACGAATAAATCGTCATCATTCATGTCATCAATTTGATGACACTGATTTTGGGATGCATTTTATATTTTAAACAAGTATTATTATTATTTAAAATACACTTATTTCTGTACAGAGTAACAATGTCTGTAAAATACATGGTAGTTTTAGATATAATAAACTTCATTAAACTTTTTTCCTGGTGGAAGTGTCCCCAGGATTGAAGCTACATTTCCACGTTGAACTGTAATGCCGAGTCGCTGGAGGAGAAAAGTTGTGGAGCGTGGTTCTCCAGTCGCGGTAGCGATCCGTTGTCCAATCTCTTTAATGAAGGATAACCCCTCCTGACCCCATGTACCTGTCGTCTCAATTGCAACGGGCATAAAGATGAATCGGTCCAGGAGAAAGGCGTACAATTTTTTCTTTCTATCTTCTGCCTTTGTTGCTGCTGCTCCTTGGTGGCGGACTGTCTCGGGGAGATAACTAGGTGCGAAGGTGTCAGCGCAGGTAAAATCCCACACAAGGGATCTTCCTCTTGCCCACGGAACGAGAGTCATCCCGTCTGGATGCTTTCCGTCTTGGTGTGAACATCCGGGTGGTTCAAGGATGCAGGGAACATCAGCTGATCGAAGCGCCCTCGCGATTACGTCGTTAGCGGCTGCGTGGCGAGACCACCGACCAGCACTTCGTCGGCAGGATAAACCATGATATCCGCGTGAACTGACTTGCGCTCCACACGGGCAAGTGTGGGGTTGACAAACATCGCAACCTAAACGGAGGGAAATTGCGATGCGAAATGCCTCGTTCGAGAGAAGGGTGCCGATTTGAGGAGATGGGAGAGCGTTGAGCCATATTCCTGCATATTTGTCGCGAAGAGCACGTAGGCGAGCCGTATCTTCAGACGTGGCTGCGGCGACGACTAAGTGGGACACTGTGATGTCGATGATGGGGCGCTCCCATGCTGTCTGTAATCCTCTCACTGTGTTGGGAGGAAGATTAGTTGGGCCAAGAGAAGTCCATCGTTCCTCTCCTTCCGCAATGGCGGCATCGGAACCATGTAGGTAAACCGGAAGAATTTGTTCCATTAGGGGTTGGGTGCTGTAGACTGACGAAAGAAAGCACGGTATCGCTACATCTTCAGCATGTCTGACCCCAAGGCCACCTTCTTTCACGGGTAGAGAGGACTGCATCCATGCAGCCTCCGAGAGTGAGCAGTTAAGGATCCCCTCCAGGGCGTCCTTGAGTGTAGCGTCATAGAGAGCGAGGGCCTCCCTTTTTCTCCACGACGGTGAGCATCGGAGAAAGTATATTAAACGAGGTATGGAGATAGAAGCTCGGAGGAGGAAGAAAGCTGAGTGGGCAGATATTTTCTTGAGACGTTTGGAGAAAGTTGCCAATTGCTCCGTTTTGGCAGCCAAAACCGCCTCCATGGCTTCGTTGGTAAGAGGAGAACCTAATAATGTTGCATTTTCTCTAGTTATCAGTTGGATTCCTGGGGCAAAATTTTGAAATTCTTGAAAAATCTGGGTGATGGTGTCGTCATCCGCCCCCAATAATCCAACCTCACACTTGTTGTGGTTGAGATAAAGCCCCACTTCTTCACCCATTCTGGAAACTTTCTCAAGGGCTGCTAGTACCGTTTCCGGGGTGTCTGCGATAGTCCCGTCGTCGAGATACCATGCGTTTAGCTCTGTGTCCAAAGTCTTGATTATGGGGTGGATGAATTGATTAAACAAGTTATTAGCTATAATTTTGTTCTGTGACTTGTTCCGATCGGTGGTGACACTATTGCGAATATATTAGCTAAAGAGAACGTTGTGATAATTTTTAAAAAATATGAACTGTATCATATTTACAACATGATACAGGTCAGAGGTCAACGCCGACCAATTTATTAGCGGCGCCAATGTTGGATAATTTTTCGGGGGGGCGGCGTGACCTCTGATGCACTTCCTCCGAGTTCCTCCCCCCACTACAACTACAACTCTAAACTCTAAAAAAATTAGTTCAGGCTTGAAGAAAAACCAACGACAAATAAGGAGGAAAGAATGGAACTGAGAAAATTTTCTCGGTCATTTTATTTTTATTTTTTCCTACACCTTATTGATGTAGCCCGGTCTCAACGGAATTCTGTAACCATACACCTTATTGGTGGAATCCGTCGCCAACGAGAAAAAGTTGGCCTACACCTTATTGGTGTAGTCCGTCGCTAAGGCGAAAAATTTGGCCTACACCTTATTGGTGTAGTCCGTCGCCAAGAGATCGAAATCGCCCTCCACCTTATTGGTGGAATCCGTTTTTAAAAGGTTAAAAGACCCAAGAGTTACCTAGATACTAAATGTCAAGCAATCGTGATCCGATGTCAAGCAGAATTTTTTTGCATCTAGATAACTCCCTGGAAACAATTCACTTGCCGCCATGGAGCGGGGCTTAAAACGCCATGGTGCCTTGACCTTGTGTAAAAGCAAACCAACTGCAAGCAAATTCCTCGGGCCATTAGACTTTTTGGTTGCACTGTAAAGGTCGGAACATATTTTTTTTTTGCGGAAGAGCGATTTTTTTTTCTAAAATTCGTATGAAAAACATTTCAGTACAATAGTTTAATGAAGTTTATTATATCTAAAACTACCATGTATTTTACAGACATTGTTACTCTGTATAGAAATAAGTGTATTTTATACTTATCAAATATTTGCACTGCATTAATAAATTTTTAAGATTTCAGTACAATAAGCATGAAAAGTGCGCATTATGTCCAGTTATAATTCTCATTTATTACATTATTGTATTATTTTTTAGCATGCTCCAACTTTTGTCAGCTATGAAAATAAAGTATAATTAACTTTATTGAAAATAAACACATACATACATTTAATTAATGTTTGTGTTTAACAAAATAATGAATTTTATATTACGAAAATTACTAAACTCAACTATGTGATCTTCTCAAGGTGAATAGAATATGGTCGTGGCGACAGTGTAAATCCATTCACCGGTTGTGTCGAGGGCGTACCGTTTGCCGGCATTATGATGTACTGTTGCATAATGGTGGCGAAATAGCTGAAAAGCGACGCTTTAGCGAGAGGTTCACCGAGGCATAACCTTTTTCCGAGACCAAATGGAAGGAGTTTGTTGGTGTTTATTAACTGTCGACCAGCGAGAAACCGGGACGGGCGAAAATTTAATGGATCCCTCCATGTCTTTTGGGAGTGATGAATGCCAAACAGGTTTAATCCGGCCACGGTTCCCTTGATATAAGTGAGAACAATCAATTTGGTAATAAAATTGTTACCGGGCGCATGAATAGTAAGCAATTATACTGTTTTAGGTACTATTTATCACAGAACGGTAAAACAATTTTAAGCTGCATGAAAATGTATGTTTCTTGATAATTGTCATCGGCGTAAATTATTTCACCAGACGGGGACAAATAATAACTTAATGTTAGGAGAATTGAACAGTTTTCGAGCAATTTTTTTTTACTATTTACAATGCAAATTCCATAAAAAAAAATTTCAGAAACATAAACTCACTTTTGGCACATTGTATCCAGACAATGTGGTATCTTCATTTGCTGATCGAACCAATACTGGAACTACACTCGCCATACGCTGTATTTCCAACAGTGTGGCTTCGGTGTACGGAAGTCTATCAAATATTTATGCACGTGTATATTTATCGTCTAAAATCAACTGAAAATATACACACTAAAATTTTCATCAATTTTTCCTTACTGCTGTCTATCTGCCATCGTTGGTCGTCTACTTTTTCCCACGACACGATGAATCTCCTCTCTGACGCCTTGCTGTTCTATGGGGTTCAGAAGCATGTAAAGCATGCCAAATTCCAACGTGTTTGACGTCGTCTCCGCACCAGCCACGAATAAATCGTAAAGCGTCACAATAAATTGTTCCTCTAAAATTAAAGCCAATTAAAAAGCCCATAAGAATTAGCGCTAATGCCAATTTATGTAAAAAAATACCATTGAAATACGACGCCTCAACTCCGGCATCCTTTTGCTGCTCAATCTCCTTGAGAAAAACATCAATGAAATCTTTCGGTTCTTCGTTAGGATTTCGAGATTCTCTCCGTTCTTGAATTAATTCCTGTGGAAAAAGTGTGACATGAAAATTCCCTAATTTTTTTCATAATTAGCATTTATATATTTCCCACCCTAAAAAATGCTTGTAATCGTGTATGAAATACGCTCCTACTCTTCATCTTTGGCGTGTGTTTGATCACGTTCCATAAAACGGGGAACATTTGCGCAATATTTGTCTCGACTGGAGAATTTTTTGTAGTTTCGTCCAACAATTGAATCAAAGTTTTTAACCGACCGTCATCATGCGCGAATCTAACGCCTGCCACCATACTCCACAAAATATTTAGGATTGATACAGTGAAAAATTGTCGCATTGGCAAAGCTTCTCCAGAATTGGCGGCGTGATCCATTTTGGTAAATAGTAAACTAATTTCTTCATCAATTACGGATTCCATACTTTTGTTTTTGCCAAAACCGAAATCTCGTAAAGTTCTGGTTGTAAAACGACGCATTTCTCTCCAATTGTTACCGGAAGAGAAAATTATTCCTGGAAATGGCAGAGAAATTTATTGAAATAATAAAATTCTAAATTTTCGCAATTTTCGCATTTTCGATTTTTTTTCAAAATTCTGAATTGCTACACAATTGACTGTTCACCTACCCAATGATTTTCCGAAAGAGCGGTCTCCAATCAATTCATCAAAAGGTCGATCGATCCAATTATCACTGGAAAGGCATTCCTTACTGAGTTCCAAGTCTTGAATTAATACTGGTGGTCAGAAAAGGGAACAATTAGTTAATTAATTAAAGTAATTATTTCAATAACATTTTCAACTTGCATTGTGTAACGTTTCCAAGTTTTATGAAAATTAGTGGCCCATAATCAAGTTTCAATGCGGCGAAGGACTCAATCATGGTGCCTTTGTTGTAGGCTATTAATTGTGGTATGTTCCCAATGAGCGGAAAAATTGGGGATGGTCCTAAACATTGAGTTTTGACACGTTTAAATACAAATCTATGTAAATATGCACCTTTAATTTATGTGTAAAGTTTTACCAGGAGGATAATTCTTCATAAATCGTGAATTCAGAAGGGACCAAATAACAGAAACAATGGAAATGAGGACAATAAGTTCGACGAACATTTTCGTTTTCAGACAAATTACTAAATTTCCAGAAAAAAATTTAGTTTGATCATGCAACAACCACGAAAGTTTACACTAATTTTTTTAGTAAATCAAACAACTGTGCCTGTCATTAACTGTTAATTTTAAGGGCCTGGGGGAAGTTGCTTAGAAATCACGTCAACTTTGACGATAAAATTCAGCAATGCACAAGAGGGCAGATTTTTAGGCCTTTTAAGATGGCCTTATAGATTTACCAAGATGTCTGTCTGTCCGTCCGTCTGTGCGTCCGTCTGTGCGCACGATAACTCTCTTTAAACAAAAGCTATCGACTTGAAATTTTGCACACTTCATCTTCGGGTCAAAAGTAAGGATGAGTTCGGAGATGGGCATGATCGGTCAAGTAATTGGCCGGTGGGGGTCATTTCCATCCAAATGCGTTGCCCTTAACTACCAAGAACCTTTAGAGCAGGTTAAATTATTTAAGTGTAAGTAAAATATTTGTAGCTTGAGAAATATCTATAGTAATAATTTTAAGTAATTTTAGTATGAAGATTGTGACTGACCTCAAAGCGTTTAAATTGGAGTGGAGTTTCAGAAATTTTAAACCTGGGAGACCCGATAGGGTGACCCGACGGATTTCTAAAATTTGTAGTAGGTAGTTGAAATTTGGAACAAAGGTTGCTAGTGGATTGTAACAGACAAAAATGAATTTAGGTTGGAAAAATTTTAATCTTGATGGACCCTATGGGGTGACCCATACTGATTTTTCAAAATCGTCATATCGAAGTGAAATTTGGGAGAGAGGTTGCAAATGGGTCTTAATGGAACAATATGAAATGAAATTGGTAAAATTTATATCTGATGCGGTTATCCATATCTATTTTTAGAAATTGCGTTAAAAACATGAAATCCGGCACGGTAATACTTACAATTAGTGGCTTCTCATCAAAGAATTTGAAATTAAAAGTTAGCTAACAAGGGATACTTTCGAGGTGATAGTCGTGTCCAGGGTACCACTCATTGGTCTAAATGTTTTTTGATCGAGTGTTTCTCACGGGTTCGGGTTCTTACTTCGGGTTTCGGGTTCGGATCGGGTTTGGGTCCTGCTTCGGATACGAAATTTTTGAACCCGAAACTTTCGGGTTCGGGTTCGGGTCCGAGAAATGTGATCCCAAAATTTCGGGTTCGGGTCGGGTTCGGGTTCCGACTAAGAACCCGAAACCCGAACCAACAAGAACTTTTTGCCACAACGAACACGAAAACATTAAAAAAGAAAATAAAGTGTTAACCAAACTTGCTACGACGGTTATGCTGCAGTAATTCATTAAATAATTCAAATTTTTAATTGTCGTAACTTCTTTTCACAAGTGTCTTCAATTAGTGTTATGGTTTGAATATTAAAATAAAATATATTTTTTATCAAAAATTTGCAAAATATTTAGCTTGAGCTTACTTTAATATTGGAAACTTGAAACTGAAAATCATTTTCAGTTTTCAACTGATTTAAAAATTTCTGAATGTCACGGAAAGCCATTATTCATGGTCGATTTTTTGAGATTGCATTATTATGGTCAAGGAATTAAGAGTTATGTACTTATGCAGAAATGTGCTTAATTATAATTCCTCGGTCATATTTACAGAAGTATTGTTTGTTTGAAACCTTCCAAAGAATTTTTAGCTAAAAAGCCAGTCACCCCTTAAAGTTAAAATATATTCGGGTTTTTCGGGTTCGGGTTTCGGATTTGATCCGCCAGTTCGGGTTCGGATCGTTGCAAACGGGTTTCGGGTTCTTCGGGTTCGGGTTGCCCTCAAGTTTCGGATCAGTGGCATCGGGTTCGGGTTCGGGTTTCGGATTTGCAAGAACCCGACCCGTGAGAAACACTAACCCATCTTCGAACTCGGTCGATGCCCAGATGCATGTCTGTATCAAATTTGGTAAAATTCAGCCTACTCCTTCGAGAGTTATGGAAAGACAGACAGACGGACAGGTCGATTACATAAGCCCTAGTCCGGGCTAAAAATTATATGCCAATCGTTCATTAGAGTCTGGCTTTTATGTAATAATGCCGTCTTAAAAGGCCCCGCAAAGTTGCTTGGAGTAGGTTTTTAAATTATGTTTAATGCGTTAATCATATCTTTAGATTTTACTTGAGTTTTTTTTGACGATCTGCCCTCTTGTGCAGTGGAGATATTTGGTCGTAAAGTGAGGACAAATTGGCTTAGAATTGCCAAATTAATGGCAGGAATTGCATTTTGAGTATCCATGGAACAAAAGAAACAACTTTTTTCAAAAACTTGAGGGACTTGAGGGAAACTTTTTCAAAAGCAGTGACAAAACCAAAGCTTTTGAACGTGAGTGTCCCATAGAAACGGTGTCAATTAATTGTGGTCGTAACCTAACAGAGCGATAATAATCTTGGGGCCCTGGCAATTATTGTTGCTAACATAAAATCAAGTAAATCTTCCCCCGGGCCCTTAAGCTGCACTGACAGCGAGCGTATGAAAGATATAAATATGTATCAGTCATCATCATCGCATTCATCACCTTGATTTCGTTTACAGGTCTGTGCCATGATTAGATTTTATAATTTTTTATATAGCAGTATGCATGATGGCCATCAAACACTTGATGATGTACAAAAGAGATGAAAACATCACTCATCGTCGTATTTATTTTGACATTGCATATATAGATGCAAAGTTCAAATGTACATATGTAAGTACACACCTTATCCGATACTGTTACCACTTTAAACAAACGCAGAGAGTATTGTGCAATATTATTATTGACAGGTCTCTTGATCTTTGTACAGATTATGGATGGATGTATATATGTATACGTACACACCCACCGACCATTACGCTATAATTTAGCTATAAATATTAGTTACTAAAAAAACTGATGTGGAAACATTTGATACATACATATTTACATAAATACATACGTGAAATAACTTATGTATATTTTCATGTGATATGACATCGAGTCGGTAGTATTGCTGACTCAATTTTTAAATTTTATTTTGCAAACTACATATTTAATTTTATGCTTCTTAAATTGTCTAAGGAGACATTCAATATTATGATACGAATGGGATTGGCAACTTGTCCTTTGAAACATTAGGTTGGTTTGTATGACTTATGTATTTATTACTATTACATGTTATTATTCCTGACACATGTTATATGTGCCAGGAAATTAACATTTATTTTCATTTTAATGTTGGATCAATTTTTGAATCTCCTACGCCCAACGTGAACTGAAAAAGATTTTTAAATGTGTCAAATATACGCAATACAAACTAAATCGTGAAGGTCCTGAAAAATATAACGCTAGAAAAATGAGGGAGAAAATTACGGCTTATTTTTTTTTTTTTTTTGTCTTAACTAATTGCTTTTATTTATTAACATCAACTTATTTCAGATGAAACCCCGTAATGGGTTGCTAAGGACAAATCGGCAGTAAGAAATAATTTATCATTTTCAATCTCACTCATCTCAGCCCACTTGCCCATCGCTCTTCTTAAAATATTACATACAGATAAGCTCACATCCACCGAGAAATGTCGTTCATAAACGTAAAGAAAAATTTCCCCCTTCTCGTCATCATCCTATTTTCAACACTTCATGGTTTCCTCGTTGGCGAATATATTTGGAGCATTGTGTTCCCTACGAGAACAATTCCTTCTTCTACTAACCCAACTTCAGACATGTATTCCATTTTCAGCAAAGTCCTGACATTTCCTGAAGAACAAATCCAATCCAAAACCAGCGAAGACTCACGAAAAACATGGAACTGGGATCGTGCCGAGAAGGAAATTAAACAACGTCGGTATACACGTGAGTACCATAAGAAGCTTGAACGGGTTTTATACGTCGTGACCCCGACGGTGCGTGGACCATCGCAGGTGAAATTTTGCTATCTGATATTTTGGAAATATTAAGATTTTCTGTAAAAATTTTGAACCAAAATTGTACTATTAAATAATATTTAACAATCTGCATATTATGCAGATTGCCGACCTCACCCGCACGGCCCAAGCTCTCTACCCCGCTCGAAAACTGGTTCATTGGTTGATTTACGAAGATTCAAACCGGACACGAGCCCCGTATCCAGACCATCTCACACATCTGCGCCACGAGCTTGCCGACTTTGTCACGGAGTTCCTCTCCATCCAAATCCGGTGGTCGGGAGTGAGGCAGGCGGCCGATTTTAGCAAATTTAACCACAAGGGCGTCGAAGGTCGAAGGACAGGGCTGACTTGGATAAGAAAACATGTAACGATCAAAGGGAAGAGACGTGGAAAAGGGCGTGAATGGAGGAACGATGGAGTTCTATTTTTCATGGATGACGACAACACGTATGATAGCGACCTTTTTCGACAGGTGAGGAATGCAATTTTGAATTGAGTAGAAGAAAACGAAAATGCGAAACGCGAAAATGCGTTGTCATTAATTTTGCTCACTTTCTATAACTTGTGGAAAGGATAAAATCCGAGTGAGAAAACCGGAAGGATAACTTTGTTTAGCCAATTTCATTTTTTTATCAGATTTTGACGCTGACGCCTACGAAAAGCATCTCTGCCTGGCCCACGGGCCTTGTCACACCACAAACTCAATTGTGCGCCCCCGTCGTCAACCTTTCGACTGGCGTGGCTTTCGACATCTCGGACGGGTGGAAGGTCAACAGAGCGTTTCCACTAGATTTTGGTGGCTTTGCTATTCCTGTCAAACTCCTCGTGGATGTGAATATGCATATTTCTATTTTAATTTGAATATTTTGAAATTGCGAAATATTTTATAACATAATTTTCCTATTATGTATTTCCAGAAGCCAAAAGTCTCAATTCCATACATTGCTGGGTACGAGGAATCAATATTCCTGAATAAATTGGGAGTCAAATTGCGAGAAATTGAAACGCTGGCGAATCGTGCGACCGAAGTGCGTTGGTTTTTTAACATATTATTCTGATATCAGTGACTGACTTGACTCTAACTTTTGCACACTTTTAATTATGTATCTCAGGTGCTCTCGTACCATTCTAGAACTAATTACGTGGCCTTCCAACCGGATGGAAAAGGCAACGAACTCGATGAAGGGCTGACGGATAAAAATACAAACATTTTCGAGTTAATTGGCAAATATGCAGCTACGAGATCACATCGTACCCTGTACTGAAAATTTACTGAGGTCAAATTTTATTGAATTGTTTCTTCAGTAATTTCTGCAATTTTTATTTTAACTTTTCGTAATAAAATACATTTTAAAAAATTCAAGCAATAATAATAATTGATATCTCACTTTTAAATTTCTATGCAAAATTCGAAAATTCAGTACAAAATCTCAAATTAATTTATCATGAAAAAAATCCAAAATATGGTACAAAATGTATTATTAGATTTTTGCGACTCATTTTGAAGTTCACTATTAGCAAAGATGTGTTTATTCATTTGACTTTCATGCATAAATTTTCAAACACAAAATTTCCAGACAATCTGAACAAGGCGTAATTCATACATATATCCACCACTTGACAAATTCATAAATGAGGCGAGATTTTGGACAACTTAAGCTTATCGTTCCTCGTCACTTATTATTGTCGCCGGACTGAGTATTTGCAGTAGCAGCTTATCTGCCAACCACACTGGGTAAATCTACTGCGAAGTGCGAATTAATAAAGTATTGATCTTTTTACGGCCAGTCACCCATGTCGGAAATGCAATGTGTGAAATAACAGACACCTGCAGCACAAGAAACGCAGTGCATGGACATATTATTTGCATAATGTGGAGTACAATGTATTATTATTATCACAAATATTCAAGTTAAACTCATGTCACGCATCGGAACAATGCTTTCATATTATCGTTTAATCTGTACACTGGGAAAAAATGATTGAAATCCCACCCAAAATTTATGTAAAGTTCACAAAACTTTGATACGCAATGAGAGCAAGACAATGAAGCTTTTTGGTATAAAAAGCACCTAAACTTTGGAGAAGAGTATCGTTCAATTCAAAGAGATATCAACTAAAACTTCAAATAACAGTAACAAAAATTACTAAACATTTTCACTCGAAAATGAAGCTACTTCTAGTACTCGTACTTGTCGCATTGGCGCAAGGCCGACCAGAAAATGGCGATAAAATCGACTACCGTCTCCTCCGAGCAGCCAAACAAGCCGAAACTGCCGACATTTTCGTCACCTTTCAAGAAAGCACGGCCGAAACATTGCAGGCCATCGATGACACCCGATTCGACACTCGAGAAGACCGACTTGATGCCTTGAACTCTGCCCTCGTCCGCCTCACAGGTCGTGTACAGTCCAACGTCCTGTCCTACCTCCAGGGTAGATTCGAGTTCAAATCCCTGTGGATCACGAACCAGGTTTACGTCAAGGGAGCAACGATGGACTTGATCATGGTCCTCGCCTCCTTCAACGAAGTCAAGAGTTTGGAGTTGGAGGAAATCATCGAGCTGGACACGATCGTGGAGGGCCCAATTTTACGTGGAAGACAAGATCCATCGGGCGAATGGGGCGTCAAGAAAATTCAGGCGGCCGAAGCTCGTGAACTTTTGGGGTCGACGACTAAAGCGTCGCAAATCGTGGTGTCAACAATTGACACCGGAGCTCGTCACACCCATGAAGCCTTGAGAGCCAACTGGTTCGGAGATTATGGATGGTTTGACCCCTACGATGCCAACGCATTGCCGATGGACATCAACGGTCACGGTACTCACACGACTGGGACGATCTGTGGCGCTGGAGGGATCGGAGTCTACCCGGACGCTAAATGGACTTCTTGTCGCGGATGTGCGACTTCATCTTGTGCCCAGAACGCTCTTTTGGCATGTGCCCAATTCATCACCTGTCCAACGCGTCCCGACGGAAGTGCCCCAGACTGCAGCAAGGCCCCACATCTCGTTTCAAATAGTTGGGGAGGCGGTCGTGGTGCTACTTGGTGAGTCTAAATTTACTGTAACAATGCCAGTTTTTATGACTATTTTGAATTTTTTTTAACTCTACAGGTTTGATGGTGCAATTGCTGCTTTCCACACGGCCAACATCATTCCCCTTTTCTCCATCGGAAATTCTGGCCCATCCTGCAACACGGCCAACTCACCCGGAGATCGGAACGTGATTGGCGTGGGTTCAACTACGGTCACCGATGAGTTGTCTTCCTTCTCCTCCGTCGGCCCCACAACCGACGGAAGAATGAAGCCCGACATTTCTGCGCCAGGATCCAACGTCCTTTCCGCCTACAACACGGCTGACGATGCTTATCGAGCCCTCTCCGGGACGAGCATGGCCTGCCCCCACGCCGCCGGACTGACCTCTCTCCTCCTCGCCTACAACCCGAGCATCAGCTTTGGAAATGTGACGGCCCACATGCGGGGTGGGGTTGACCAGGACCTCGTCGACATGGGAAAGATCTGCAGCGGAGTTCCAGACAATCAGTTTCCCAACCATCATCACGGCGAAGGCAGGATCAACGCCTTCAAGTCTCTCCGACGACTTATCGATGTCTCCAAATAACTGATATCATTTTCACCCGTGTAAATTCAAGCTGTACATTTCTTGTATCATAACCATTTTCTACTTGATTTTCATCAAAAATAAATCATTTCTGCAATCCAATTCACATTTCATCAGTCGAATCAATTTTTTTAAAGCATGATTTTGTAATATGTTCATATAATTTGTGGTCCAATTTTATTCCACGTTTTTTAAAAGTGAGTGGCAAGGTTGCCCACCATTCGACTCATTTATTGGATGCACCTACTTTCACCTGCTGTCCTACTACAAAGGTGTACACTTGGTTCCAATACGGGAAATGTACCCATTTATTAAAAGCAAAAACTGTGCGAATCTTAATTTTGGCACTCATTACGCATTCATTACCCCTCCTACACCTGCAATAATATAGCACAACCTTCTACCTAAGCCACATTTTTGGACGCCTTCAGCCCCCATTTGACGAATGACTATGAATGTCCAGCCCACATGAAATATATTCGAATATGCTTACTTACATAACATGTAATAAAAATAAAATTGAGCATATTCTTGTTTGTTATTCTTCAAATATTCGTCTCACATGCACCTTCGCCCAAATCCCCAGAATTTCAATATCCAACTTCTCGACATCTCATCGTCTCAACTTCCTCTGGTCAACTGGTAAGCGAAATCTTAATTTTACTTTACTGTATTAGAGGAAAGCGGATGTATGGCAATGGCAATATATAAGTAGACGACGAAGATCAAATTATTGATTTAAATCGTATCTTGATTCATTTGATTTGAAGTTAATTTTTCGTGGCAGGGTTCCTCCCTTTTGGTGACGTTGTCTGTCATCCGGTACAATGCCCGAAATATGCAAACATGCAAAAAAGGGTTGCAAAAACTTTTTGAAGTGGAAGCCGAGTACGAAAACAAGGAAGAAATGCTGGTGCAGGGGAGTTAACCGGCTGAAGTACCCAGGACTGAAGGAAGCCGTAAAACCTGATGCCCATGTTTGTGAAAGGTCAGGAAATATTTCGAGTTTATTATTGCAGTAAATTAAAGACGAAATTTGTAAATAATTCGATTATCTACAAACGACCTATAATTATTATGGACAAACTCTGCATGCATTTTTCCAATGAATATTGACCCTTTCCCTTAGTTTGTGCAAGCCAATGAATTAAGTGTACATAAGTGTACAAGGGTAGTACATATTTGTTTGGTTAGCAAAATGATGAGTTTAAATAAATTCATCATTAATAATAATATTATTATTTACTTTCACTGATTTCAACAAACGGGGAATGATTTTATAAAACACAAACCCATTCACTTTTACTTTCAAATTTTCATTGCACGATAGCAAAGCATTATACCAATCTAGAAAATAAACAAGGTCCCTAAAAAGGGGAAATCTTAGTGAGGGAGTGCAATCACAACTAATAAATAAAATTAGATTGGAGAATTTTTGCATCACCGCTCTCGGTACCATTTTTACTGGATGCAGTATAAATTTTTCTTTGCATACGCATGAATTCTTAGTTTTATTGAATAAATTGAGGAAGGAATACATTTTTACTGTGTAGTGAACGAGAAGTGGGTTAAATTAACTGAGGTAGATATGTAAGATATAATGGCTAAATAATTCTGAGCTACGTATTTGTTTAAAAAAATATACAAATTTCAACTTCATATATTAATTTGGCTACTCTATGCAAAATCATCGAACCTTTTGAGGGAGCAAGTGTTCTATTTAAACGATTAATTCTTCCAGTAAAAATGGTACCGAGAGCGGTGATGCAAAAATTCTCCAATCTAATTTTATTTATTAGTTGTGATTGCACTCCCTCACTAAGATTTCCCCTTTTTAGGGACCTTGTTTATTTATAACTTTTAATTGGGGAATTAGATTGTCCATTGGATGACTGCATTGCACTACCCCTTTTCAGTAGTTTGATCCGGAATAATTTTATTAAATTCTGGGTGTTTAAAATTGAATAAATCCGTTATTTCTTAACCGATTTATATCATTTTGGTCAAAATGTCCGGCCTAGATTACTAAACACCAAAAGACCTGATCTGGAGGTGCAAAACCAACAACAATTTCACGCAGTTTACCAAGCATGTTAAAGAAACAATTAGTTATGCTGTTTACAGTTTTGAATGTAATTTGTTTTCAATTTATTAGTCTTGCGTCGTTGTCAATGGCAATGATTCGTAGCACGAGCAGGAATTTCTGAACTTCAAATTGGAATAACTAAGCCAATTCTTAACGGATTTTGATATATTTATACTTAAAATTTTCGGGATAAACTGCCCTACAATTCGTGGGTATCAAACTTTTGATAAAGTTTGCTAGTAACTAGCAATAATTACAAATGTGTTTCTAAGGCTACATTTTTGCCCATAATTCCGGTCAAGATCACGTAATCCCTTAGTCGGATCAGATCCCGTTTCTATATTATGTAACAATAATCGGTGCAAAATTTCATCAAAATCGGTTGAAAAATGACTGAGATATCGCAGATGGTCACTTTTTTGGGGTGGGTCAAATGCATACTTAGTAATTTTTTCGTTGTTAGGTATTTGCCTCACTAAGAATAATATAAAATAATCTGCCTGAAATCACCGTCTCATCTTGCCTCCTAGACTGCATCAGATCCTAGTCTCATCCTACCTCACTGAGCTTTCCCTTTTCCTGAGTCTCATCAGTTGCTCTGTCTCACTTTCCTCCATTAATTAGCTCAAATTTCTCGATCTTTC